TCCTTGTTTTAAGCAAAAACTAACTAAACTTAAACTAAATTTTGTAAAAAATTCTAAGCAAGAAAAGCATTTTTAAAGTGTATTATCAATTTAACAACATATAAATAGATCTTAGTGTCTTTAATTGTTTATATTTTTATAATGCATTAGCATGTGTTTGCGGCGTAAAATGGGTCAATTTTCACACTGGTCTGAACAGAAACAGCTCTGCCAGCAGGAGGCGCTTTTGGAACGGCAGAAATAGAACTGTTTAAAAATTCTAAGCAAGAAAAGCATTTTTAAAGTGTATTATCAATTTAACAACATATAAATAGATCTTAGTGTCTTTAATTGTTTATATTTTTATAATGCATTAGCATGTGTTTGCGGTGTAAAATGGGTCGATTTTCACACTGGTCTGAACAGAAACAGCAGACAGACTTACTGAAATTGTTTCTCTGCCAGCAGGAGGCGCTTTTGGAACAGCAGAAATAGAACTGTTTCCCCGGTAACAGCAGAACACAAAGCAGCAGCACCAGACTTTGAAACCTGCTCATGTTTATTTAATAAAATCATAGCCTTTTGAAGTTTAATCGTCACACCAAGCCGTATCTCAATTCTTGTCTTACCGTTCCCAAATTTAAGACCTCCTGAAATCATAAATAAGACTTTCTTGTACAATTTAAGGATTTTTATGGCCTAATTTTTAAGGACCCGTGGAAACCCTATCTAACACTAGCTCTATCTCTTCTATTTCTTCTTCTACTTCTTATTTATTAACAAAAAAAAAAGGAATGAATCGTCTGCTAAATGATTAAATGTTAAAGTTTTAATAAACATCTTCATTATTACAAACTTTTGACCAGCAGTGTACATGACCATTTTCCACCCTAAGCTATGTAAGCTACTGTACCTTTCTATTTTATACATGACCTCTTATGATTGGCTAACCTATATGAATGAGAAATAAAGTAACTAACAATAGCCACATCTAAATGCTGAGTGCTGAATATGTAAACATGGTTGGTCGTATGAAAAATATGACAAAACAGAAGGAAGACAAGAGAAAGAACAGCATCAGAAGGATCACCTGCTTTCCAAAGCACCAACGACAATAGCAATGAGGTAAGATGGCATTGGGACCTGCAAGAAATAAAAAGACAAAGACAGAATGTCTTTCATTTTTGATATATATTTTCATTCGGAAACCAACTCGTGATGTGACACTGACTGGCTGTCTGAAGCGATAGATGACTCGGCTGCTGTCGCTCGGATCTGGTTCCTGACCATCATGCAATGCACTCATCAATGCCACCAGCTCTCTGGGGATAGACACCTGAGACACAGAAAAATGTTCCTAGTGTTACTGTGGAATTTAATTAGTATTATTTTTCTTTCAGTTTACATCGTTTATCTTAGCATGCACTTCACTGCTGCTTTGTTGAGTGTATAATTAGTGCTTTGAGCTGCTTATGCATGTCACCTGTGCATAGTAAGTGTGCTTCACTGACGGACTGTCCTGGCAAGGAATCATGGTCCTACAGTGAGTGGCCTGTTGTAGGTAGAAACAGTCAGAGTAAATGAAAAAAGTACTACTGTATAAACCAAGGCTGGAAAGTTTTCAGCCACAAGCTGGTGTGATGATCTTTCTAACAAGTAAAAAGTAAGAAACATTTGTTTGCCCACATTGAAAATGCATAAAAGATGCCTTACTCTATTCCTCTTATAATGCAAGTCAAGGTTTATTACACCAATACTCTTGTAATTTAGATTTACATGTCCGTTTTTCACCTTTTTTTTGGCCTTTAAAATTAAAAAAGCTGTTTTGCTACTGTACCTTAAATACATCTATATGTAAATGACCACTTATGATTGGCTAACCTCTTTGGACGAGACCAAAATGCACATTTGAGATAAAATGTATATGGAATAGAATCCAAGAAAAGTGGAAAATCCCATGTAGTTTGCTCTCAAATTGAAATCTGCTATTCTAAATAGGACATGCTGGAAAGTTTCAGCACTAAAAACTTATTACAACATTCAAGCTCTAGATGGACTCTTCATGATAAACTAGTGAAGTATAAGGACTGTGAAACACTGTGGTTAGTAATGCAAGATTGTACAAATGATTATATTTAAGGAAACTGCACCCAAACCACACGTCTGCACACATCTAGAAAGATGACAAATGGCGACAAGTCGAGGTGGGCGATAAACCGGTACACACGATAAACTGATAAGAACTTGAGGTTTTGAATGATCGTGATGTTGTAGTGCTGCGTCATTACAAAAGTTTAGAATTTGCATTCATTTTTATGCCTTGCAGTTTAAAACCAAGTGATTTTCAAGTGATTTTAAAACCTTAAATTTCATATTGGCATCTTGTTGTGCTTGAAAAATCAAATACATCAATTTTTGTATCAAAATGCCATCTTGGTGAGTATTCACATAAACACAGTTGATTACGTCGGTTAAGTGGACCAAACAGTTCAGAAAGTGTGCGTGTAACAAAATATTGCAGCATTTAAAGTTACAGCAACTAAATAAACCAGTTTCCTTCTGTGTGCTTAATATGAATCAAACAACAGAAGACAAAGAGAAAATCTCTCACTGCTCATGACTGAGCTTTATTCAATTTATGTACTATTTCTTATTTCTGTATACAAATAGTGCTTGAAGTCTTAAGTAAGTCTACTTCATTTGTATCTTTGTTCTATTGTATTTATTTGTCCTATTGTTCGTAATTAGGTTTCCTATTGTATCGCTGATTGTTTACTTGTCCTCAGTAAGCTTAAAGTTTTTTTTTTTTGTTAATTCTGGTCTAGTAGGTCTCATGACATCAAAATTGGTGATGAGAATATATATATATATTGTGAAATAAAATAGTGATATAAGATTTTGTTCATATCACCCATGATGTACCTGGCACTGGCTGAAAAGGTATGGATGTTTCTTCCCAGCAGTCTGTGTGGGGGTCAACCACTGCAGTGCTGTGGCACTAGGAGACGTCTCATATTCAATCTCCACAATCACATGCTGCCCACTAAACCACACATACACAAATGCAATACAAGTTGCCAAAGATGAAAAACTTTGCATTGAAATAAAAGGCTGTCAGAGTTGATAAAAGATTATTTATATACGTTTAAGTCGATTACAAAGCTGTTTCTGCTGGCAATTTGCAAAATAAAAAATATATAATGTTATTTTATTTTGATTTCTTTCCTTATAAGAGGAAGTAAATTAATTTTAATAAAAAGAGAGCAATGTCATGGATAGAAGATTTTAGAAGTAGAATACTTTTAGAAGTATTTTAGCCAGAAACAACAGGTTTTAAGTTAGAAACAGCTTGATGATGGATTCGCTTTTATAAACACATATCTTTTCACTTCATAAGACATTAACTGATGGACTGGAGTCGTGTGGATTACTTGTGGATTATTGTGATGTTTTTATCAGCTGTTTGGACTCTCATTCTGACGGCACCCATTCACTGCAGAGCATTCATTGGTGAACAAGTGATGTAATGCTAAATTTCTCCAAATCTGTTCTAATGAAGAAACAAACTCATCTACATCTTGAATGGCCTGAGGGTGAGGGTGAGTACATTTTCAGCTAATTTTCATTTTTGGGTGAACTATTACTTTAAATCAAATGCATTAAATTATTGCATTTTTGTATTAATATAATATAATTTACATAATTAATAAAGATTTAAATATTAATTATATAATAATTAAATATGTTTTCCTTTGAGGAAGTTTTGCCTCAGATTTGGCTCACTACTGATAACTTTGTTTGCAAAGCATAGCATGCATTTCTATGCATGTTTCAGGATGCATTTATTACATACCATAAATAACTTAAATGTTAGAACAGAAATAAACAAACTGCTATATCTTATGCTTAGCACAGAACAAGTTTGTGGCAGTACCGTGAGAGTTCAAAAGGGAGGGTGATCTCCAAAGGGGAACCTTTAAATGTATGCTTAGTCCCCAATGCAAACTGCGCAGCCTGGCCATTTGCAGAAACCTTAAAGATCTTCAAGTCCTTTGAGTCCAGAGTCTAGAAAAATGGATTGAGAGAGAGAGAGAGAGAGAGAGAGAGAGAGAGAGATAAGAATCATTAACATAACATATATCTAAATCGGTTAGAAAAATAGAAATAATAACAAAGTGTCCATCTACTGCCTACTTATAATTGTAAAGTTCACTCTTAGAGGGTTAGTTCACCCACAAATGAAAAATAGGCCATAAATTACTCACCCTCAAGGCATCCTAGGTGTATATGACTTTCTTCTTTCAGACGAATCCAGTCGGAGTTATATAAAAAAAATTGTCTTTGATCTTTCAAGCTGTTTCATGGCACTCAGCGGGTGTTGCATGCATCAGTCCAAAAGAAGTTAAATAAAAAGCGCCCCTCCATTTAAAAAAAAAAAGGGTCTCACACGGCTCCGGTGGGTGAACAAAGGCCTCCTATAGCGAATCGATGCGTTTTTGTTAGAAAAATAGCCATATTCAAAACGTAATAATCACTTTAATGTAGCTTGCTCCAACAGTTGTACAGGGAAGCAGCTCCGGGGAGGATGACGTATGAGGTCAGCGCTGCGCCGGTGAGTCTCGTGAAAACCAACGTTTATTTACATGATCAAAGGAAGCAAAGTTTCCTTACTTTAGCAAAGGAAAACTAGTCTCCTCTTGGCTTATATCGAAATCCTCTGACATTCTTCTTTACAAATTCTCGTTTTGTACTTTTAATAAGTGACCGTTGTTTTGTTTTGATCTCTCCGCTGTGCTTCCGCGTTCGTCACTTCTGAGCGGCGCATGCGCAAAGCCGGCCTCATACGTCATGCTCCCGGAACTGCTTCCAGTGTACAACTGTTGGCGCAAGCTAGATTAAATTGATTATTATGTTTTAAATATGGATATTTTTCATACAAAAACGCATCGATTCGCTACAGGAGGCCTTTGTTCACCCTTCAGAGCCGTGAGAGACACTTTTTTTAATGGAGGGGCACTTTTTATTTCACTTCTTTTGGACTGATGCATGCAACACCTGCTGAGTGCCATTAAACAGCTTGAAAGAGCAAAGACAATTTGTAATATAACTCCGACTGGATTCGTCTGAAAGAAGAACGTCATATTCACCTAGGATGACTTGAGGGCGAGTAATTTATGGCCTAATTTTCATTTTTGGGTGAACTAACCCTTTAATTAGACGTGACTTACACATCAGATCGTTCATGTCACATCTAGTCAAAACTATTCATGGAATTCAGTTTTTGGCATATTTGTTTCCACTGCACACTTCTGAAATGCCAAATCCATTGCAGTTATGCAAGCTTAGATTTATCTGAAGTCTTCTGTCAAGCTCAGGTAAAAAAAATCTATCAGTGTGATCTGGCAGCTCCTGAAATCAAAGTTCAGGTCAAGTGCAGTAAAACAAGAACACAGTACGTGACTAATAAACCTCATTAATGATGAGACGCATTTGACTTAATCTGCAATATGACAAGAAAAGCATATGCACATGCATTTGCAAAAAGATGATGGTTGAATATATGTATCAAATTAATAAACACTTTGAATGCACTGACAAGTCATCATCAGGTTACGTTGCGGATATAATTACTGTATCAAGTTCAAGTAAATATGTAACCAGTCCTGCTGAAACTACTGTTACTGTATCAAGAGCATAATTTACACGTATAGCTAAATAACTAGGCTGGTAATCTATATTTAAATTAATAGTATTAGTTACTAATTCAGTAGCGGTCTTTTTCAAGAAGCAATCCATTAGATACTAGCACTTAATTAAAATGAATTAAAGCAATAACAGCAAAGTGAAAGCATACAGCACACTGCATCGGTCTCACACATAGGTGTGTATGTGAGGTGAAGTGATTAAGTCAAGCAAACACAATGACAGCTTTGATGAATCAAATGAAAACTGTACCAGAGAAGATAATTTATCCTCCAGAACTTCCACAGTCAGGGCCACTTTCCCTTTGAGCACACGCCTGTCAAATTCAACATGGTAAATGAGATTTAAGTGCTTGGTAGCGCACTTGGAGACAGAGGAGAAAGAGCTGGGGTCCGACACAGGAGTCATGGTTGAGACAGAGGACACTCGGCTGCTCGCGCTGCGAATGCATTTTAACCCACACGCAGTCACGTGACGCCGGCCGGGAGAACGGCATCATGGGAGTTGTAGTTTTTCTTTCTTCTCTGTGAGAACGATAAATTACTGTCCTCTAGTGGCTGAGGGTATTCGTACAACCTAAAAAAACAAAACAAAGCCTTCATACAAGTATGGTGGATACATTTTTTAACCGTAAAATAAGACATGGAAATACATACAATTTAGCTAAGAAAAAAATTAAGAATTAAACCATTCAGATTTTTGCATTGTGACATTGTAGCATTGTTGTTATGCACATACTCTCATGATTGTAATGTAATAAAATAATGCTAAAATTAAATCATATACTATTTAAACTTCAACGCATTTATGCAAAATTGTGTTTTTTCTGGCTTTATGTTCATGCTGATTTTTTTTTACAGTAATTACAGTAATTATATTAATGTCACAATGAAAAAAACTAAAATCTTACAACAGGTTTAACCTATATAATGAAAAATTATATTTTATTATTATTATTATTATTATTATTTCAACATAACTTTTAAAGATTCACAGGCGTTGTAATGTCTTCTTCCTCCACTAGATGACAGAGAATGAACAGACATGTTAAATACAGGGTCATTGCTGAGATCATAATTGTTTTCATATGCCCCTTAAAACATCAGTGTGTGAACATCTCAGGCCATCACAGATTCGTGCTAAAGGGAGAATATAAAGAAGAGGATAAGAGGCTGGTCAAGTGTGTGTGTGTGTGTGTGTGTGTGTGTGTGTGTGTTTTGAAGGATCCAGCTTCCTGGCAGTGGATATCCCTCCAGGAAATCGGAAGATGGTTCCACCCCCTGTAGAGCCCCATGGCGCTCATTTACTAAAACAGAGATTTATTTGCTGTACAGAGATATATAGATATGCTTTTAGTTTTAAATTTAAATTTAATCATGTTGCATTGCAAATGTCAGCCTTTTGACATGCCAGTAAAGCATATTTGGCGAGTATTGATTGGTTAGTTGATTAATTTAATACAAAATATATGCAAAAAAGTGTATTTGTGGGAATATAACCTAAAAGCTATTAATTTAGCTTGCATGCCACAATGCAAATTACACATTATTTATTACACATTACAACACATTATTTGTCCAACAGATTGTTTAAAATTTCAACAATCCATTTCAAAAGGGAAAACCGCCCATTTCACAGAATGACCTATTTATTCTCTTTAAGATTTTTTTCCACTTTAGCAAACTTATGAGGGCATTTTCTACACACACACACACACACACACACACACATACGAAACGTGTGTAGAGGAAGGAACACGGGCTCCTCCCGGCGGGTCCCGGGCAGGAAGAGCTACCACTCGCAGCAGATTACAGTTACAGGTTACAGTATACAGCGTGTGCGCGCGTGTGTGCTAGTGTGCTTGAATGTCGGATGGTGGCTGGAGAAGGAAAAGCGTGTTTACACAGACGGGCCGAGCGTCTAGGGAATAGCGCACGGCGAGAGGAAGTGAGCCGGCTCGCTGTCTGCACCAACTTCCTGCTCAGAGAGAGAGAGAGAGAGAGAGAGAGAGAGAGAGAGAGAGAGAGAGAGAGGGAGGGGGGGGGGGAGGGAGCGGGTGAGAGAGCGCGAGCTGCCGAGACGGCCGACAGCATGGAAAAACAGCGCATTATACGGAATTCTTTTTAATAACGTGAAAAAGGACCCCAAAAAGCCTGACCATTACGCACAGGTATGTGAATAATCCATCCATACTATCAGAACGCTTTATACATGTTTTTAAATGTGTAATTACTTCATAATAACATTACAAGGAAGAAAGCTTCCAAAGTACACGACCGAAACTTGATATCCCCAAAAAAGAATGAACCTATCCAAACGAAGGAGCAGTTTGAAATGTTCACAAGTGATGTTTGCGATTTAAATGTATACAATTATAACGTAATTCATGTATAAAAACGAATAGATGTCTTTTAGCGATAACAGACACGCAAGAGACTTCAAGTGTCCACAGTTCCCGTTACTTACGCGCAATTTACGCACCGTTTACGTACGGCTGAGGAAAGTTTGAGCTCACGATTTCGTGATGTATATTTCAAAGATGTTGTCGGTTGTACATTTGAAAGCAGGGCTGCTTGAAAAGGCTGAAATTGGGCTCCTGGCGCTTTAAACGCACTAGTAGAGTTTCTGGTTTGTCTGGAAACATCAGCAGACTAATTGCCATGCGCTTCCGGATTGAAACTGGCAGCAGACAGCATCTTGAAAATGAGTCATTGGGGCAAACAAAGAAACTTCAGTTCAGCCCTAGAGCTGATGTTACCCCTGCATCTGGATATGCTGGGGATTATGTATCATGATTGGAAAAGATCGATGTTTCTGAGCCCAAAATATATTTGGAGAGTTACTGTAAGTCACACATTTAGGGACTGCAGATGAGGCTATAGTCACCTCAGATCTAACCCAAGATGTCCCTAAATCCACCACAGGTGTCCTAGCATAGTAACCAGGTGCAGTTTGTCAAGTTCATGTTCAACTATGACAACCAGAAGGCATCCACATACTGTTGGTCTTCACTTTAAACTATTGTATTATCATTTGAAATGAGATTTTTGCTTTGAAAGTGTGCCACTTTGGATGCCGTTTCCTTCTGTTTTGGAGTCACGTTCCTCCTATCTACTTCCTGTATGGTTAGATGGGTTGGATAGATTTGCAATTATGCAGGTTTTGGCATCTTACATAGACATTATTTCAAGCAAAAGGCATTTAAAAAATGGTAAAAACAAATATTCAATCAAAGGTGCTTAGTAGGATTATTATATTGCTATTTCAGTATTTTTTTTTATCCTTTATTGACTGTATTTTCCCTGAAATGGTTTAAAAGAGGAACCATCGTTTTGATCAAACAGCCAATTAGATCCAACAGTTTAATGCAAGAAGTAAAATGCAGTAAAATCTAGTTTAATGTATTTAAGGAATGCTTTCCAAACCCTTTTTGACTATAATATCAGTATTTCAGCATTTTTTACCATCATATTTCTGTACTTGCCCTGAAATTTTTTAAAAGAGGACCCATCATTTCAATCAAACAGCCAATTAGATTAAAAAAAGTTTAATGCAAGCAGTCCAAAATCTAGTTTAAAGTATAAGGAATGTTTTCTAAACTCTTTTTGATAGTTTGCTATTAAAAGCAATGACATTCTCAAGTGTCCGCACTCTTTCTGAAGCCACTATATGGACACAGACACGCAGCCAGACATTCTCAGATCTGTCTGTGTAGTTTCAAGAGCTGCAGCTCTCTCTGGAGAAATGTGGTCGTGGAGAGAAGTCCTTCACGGCTCTCTTTTCTCCCTCTCTTCAGCAGGAGCTCCCTGAATTTTCCACTGCAGTCTGTGTGCACAGGAAGAGCACACATTTAGTCATGGCGAAGTAATGTCTGCGCACAGCAACTAATATCATTACGAGTTTCCGCTGGCGCTACAGTGGAGGGGTTTGTGAGCACGACGGCAAGTTTGGTGTTTAAAAGCTGTCTAGGGGCCATTCAAAACACTGGGCTTGGGGTTTTGGGTCCAAACTGTCCCTGCATGTCTGTTGTGTGAGTCTTGAAGGGTGTGAGCGTGTCACTTTACGCTGGAGAGAGCCTGGAGTGCATCTTCTCACCTGAAAGATCTTGCTCTTTCCCCTTTTACACACACACACCGGCAATGTGTGAAACTTTAAAAAACAGCCTTATCAGACAGTATATGTTGCCTGTTAAGCCACTGACAGATTGAGCTGTTGTCGGTTTCTGTGTCTACAGGCATGTTCCTCCTGTCTACTTCCTGTATGGTTAAATGGGTTGGATAGATTTGATGGTGTGCAGGTTTTCTTGGTGTTTTCCATTGGCATTTTTTGAAAACAAGTTCCAATACAGTTTCAAGTGTTCCGGAACTTCAGTGCTGTAAAAAGTACATGATCTGTGGTGTTAGAAAAAGAAGATTGCTCGATGCATTTCTAACCTATAGTGATCTGAGAAAAACAAATGTTGACCGTATAAAATTAAGTAAAATCTACTTTGCAAAATAATATTAAAATTCAAATATATCAGCAACTTGCTATTGTACTTGTATTTAAAATGGTACATGAAACACAATTATGGTGGATAATTTTTGAGGAGTAGAAAATTAACTCAAAACGCAAAACAAGTTACTGAACTTGAATACAACAGCAAAATTAACAAAAGTGCAAATAAAACAGGCAAAAACATGACCTTAAAGGGTTAGTTCACCCGAAAATGAAAATTCTGTCATTAATTACTCACGCTCGTGTTGTTCAAAACCCGTAAGACCTTCGTTCATCTTCAGAACACAATTTAACATATTTTTGGTGAAATCTAAGGGCTCTCTGACTGTAACAAAGCTACGAGAATACTTTTTTGCACATGACGTCATTACGCCGGACCTGGGTCAGCGCCGCCACACGCCAGCGTCATGGTACGGTCGTGAACGCGCGTCCAAAGTGACGCAGTAGAGACGAAAATGTGGAATAAAGTCGTTATTTTTGTTTTCTTTGCGCAAAGAAGTATTCTCGTAGCTTCGTATCTTTACAGTTGAACCACTGATGTCACACGGACTACTCTGTCACTCATCTTGGTACTTTTCTGGACCTTGAACGTGGTAGTTACCTTGCTGTCTATGGGAGGGTCAGAGAGCCCTCAGATTTCACCAAAAATATCTTAAATTGTGTTCCGAAGATGAACGAAGGTCTTACAGGTTTTCGAACAACACGAGGGTGAGTAATTAATGACAGAATTTTCATTTTTGGGTGAACTAACTAATGAATATGAGACAACTTTATAAATAAATCAAGGAAATAAGTATTTGAGTAGATTTTAAAGTTCAGATAATTTATTGGAGAAAATAGTAAATCTTTTCTGCCGTTTTTACTTCACAACACAATATTTTTTGTGTGTGTATTTTCTACAACATAATGTCAGAAATCGAGAGTTTTTCTGTGGCAAATAAGCATTTAAAGTGGTAAAACTGTGTGTTTTCCTACTGATGCTTAGACTTAGATGGTATCTGTGGCATCTGTATCTATTTGGGAAAAAACATGGTTAAACAGACCCAAAAAGTACTATTCTTACTGTTTAAATATTTAATTAACAAACATGATTGATTGACAAGCGGATGTTGAGAGACAGAATCCCTGTGGACCTACTGATGTCTCATCAACTAACTGTAAAAACTATGGATGATCCATTTATTTCATCCCAAATTTCATGCAGTGTGTTAAAACATCTTTAAACCCAATGACCATGAAGCTGATGCATGCCAGACAACAGCAGAACAACAGAGCCAATGCAGCGCTATGTTCAAGTGTGTCTTTTTGTTTAGTCTATTATTTATTTGTGTCTTAGAAAATCCTGGCTAAGGATTCAGACTTGGCTTGTGCACTGTTTATGTCATTGCTCATATAGAAAGATAAAAAAAGAGACTTTGCATGTGCAGATTTTTTTCCATTTTCCTCTCTTGCGATAATCCAACAATGACTTTTACAGCCACGTTCCGTGCAGAAACCTCTCCAAATGGCCAAGAGCTTTTGAAATCATCTCCCTCTGTTTATTCCTTTTGATTAGGGCAGTAAATCTAGGAATCAATGTCTTTAGACGTCCATATGGGCGAGAGGTTTGTGCCGGCATGAAAAGAGAAGAGGAAACCGCCCATTTGTGCCTTGTGTCCGTGTGGTCCTCGCGTTCCCGTGTTTGCTCCCCGCAGCAGGAATTCCTACCTTTCAGTTCGGGATCGGCATTCCCAGGAAGACGCCCTTCAAAGGAGAATTGGAGGAAGTCCTGATATAGACAGTTTTACGGTCGTTTAACGCAGATGCTCCGCTCAGAGGATGCTGGAGCAGGAAATGGTTTTATTTCGCATCTTTGGGGGTTTTGGAAAAATAACTGGGTATGTGGTGTACAGTGAGCTTTCATGTTCTGCCCAAGAGTTAAGTTTGAGATCTAACTAACTACACTAGTATGTATAATGAGATCCGTGTCACATGTAGAAGAGTAATGAATGAGCGTGTGTGTGTGTGTGTGTGTGTGTCTGTGTGTGTATGTGTGAAAGTGCACAATACTTCCTGATAAATATCTGTAGGCTGTATTGGCAGCATTTTCCAAGCACTTCCTCCTTTGTCACCAAAGGTTTGGCCGAATCTTGCTGTTTGTGTCTCTTTACACTCCCTCTGGCTGATATTCCAACCAAAACATCTGAAAAGCCAAAAATAACAGTCTTGCACACCAAATTATAAAGCAGAATGTCAATACAAAATCAAAACCAAATGTACTTGCTTGATACATGTTCTAGGTTTTCAGGAATTATCCACTTATTGTTATTCCAATGTGAAAAAATAAGCATAATCTTTCATCAAAATATAATAAAACTTTACTTATTTTTTTTTACAATTCAGTTGATTTCTGATGGATAATATGAAGCGTTTTAATGTTCAAATGTCACATTACTACATTAAAATGTAATAACATTTTATTTTTTAATAATATTTCCAAAAATTTTAAACAATCCAGTTGCCGAAAGCTTTTTATTAAAAAACATCACACTCTACATTAAAATGTAATAAAACTTTATTTTGTTATGTTTTTTTTATATATTTACAAATTTTCAACCATTTTCAAGTGTTTTATTCGAAAATATATCACATTTCTACATCAAAATGTAATAACTTTAAGTTTATTTTATATATATATATATATATATATATATATATATATATATCATATATTTATATCATTTATGTTTTATATATTTACTCATTTTCCAACCATTGTTTTATAATCCTACTGATTCCCAATGACATTATTTGGAAATACATCACATTACAGAAGCACAACGGGTCGCGAACGCCATTTAATTTTGACTTTAAGTGTTTTAGGTTTGATTTTAGCCTGTCCTGTTGGACTTTGGGGTCGTTTGCTTCTTTAGGCTCATTATTCGATCAATCCCTCGATGACTTCCAGAGCCGGCAGTTTGATGAGCAAAAACCAGGGTGAAAGTTTAAGCTTGTGTGTCTTTGTCAAAATTATGACAAAGACTTTCCCAAAATAAGGCAGTCTGCAACCAGGGAGTTCCTCTCAGCCAATAAAACATGCTCCGTGTCAGAGCTATCCACAGCAGTGAGTCAGCCAGCCTCGTTTCTCCATCTTCCACTCTCCGTCTCGTTCATTCCCTCCATCCGTCTCGGGAGAGCGCTGGCTCAGGCAGCAGTAAACGCCAGCCAGCCCGCCCCGTTTGACTGACTTACAGTTACCAAAGGGCATGATGTAACGCTAGTTAAAACCGAGGAGTGTGTTCAAACACACACACACACACACACACACATCTGACAGCTTTGAATTAGAGTCAAACTGGTTTCCTCATGTCTATTGAACACATCTCAGACCTCAACCTGAGGTCCATTGCATTCCTCCACCCAGATCTTCCTGCATCCCAACACTCAACACCATCTCCTCAACGTCAGTCAGTTTTGTACACTAGATATCCACTGGAAATAAGCTGAAACTCTGTGCTACAATATATTAAGTATATGCATGTGTCTTAAAGGGATAGTTGACCTAAAAATGAAGTCTGTGGTCATTCACCATCATGACGTTCCAAAGCTGCTTGATTTACTCTATTCTGCGAGACACAAAAGGAGAAATTTTGAACAATGTTCACGCTGCTCTTTTTCATACAGTGAAAACATGCACATATTGAAATGGGTGCTTTTATGTGATCTTAGAAGACCTGATCATATTTGATTAATTTTATGATAATTTTATATTGCTTTGTTTATTTATGCATTTATTTATTTAAACAACTGGTCAATTTTTAGTTATTTATTTATGTACGTTAGTTTGTTACCATGTTATTATGTAAGGCAATTTTCCTGACAAGAACATGGTAATTAAAAAATATATATATACATAATTAAGTTATCAAACATATATTAAACTTTTTATTATTTTTTTATTTTTATATTTTTTTAAATACATTTTTTTAAATGTTTTGCTTAAATTTGAAGATTTTTGCTTAAACACCACACTTGAGACAACATTATAAGTATTTAATAGTGTACTGAAACTACTTATTTCTAATTTTGTATATAAAATGATATTTATTTATTTAGCTTATTTCAGTTCTTTTTCCCTTGTTGTACACTCCTTAAATAATTGTAAATTGCATTTTATTTTCAACTTTTATTTCAACTTGTAACAGGTTAACTTGCCTGTTGTTTGAATACAGTAAAACATTAGTCTTGCCATAAAAAAGCTCAATAAAACATGTTGCATCCCCTGGTCAAAGTGTACAGGTTTTGTAATGGATATATAGTTTTTTATATCTCCTAAATATTCCAGGGATGTAGAGGAAGAGGTTATGAGAGTACACTAAGGGTAAGCGTGTGGCTAAAGGCCATGATGACAGCGGTCACAGGAATGGCCCAAGCAAGATTTAAACTTCCTGTACTGTTTATATCTCCTAAATATTCCAGGGATGTAGAGGAAGAGGTTATGAGAGTACACTAAGGGTAAGCGTGTGGCTAAAGGCCATGATGACAGTGGTCACAGGAATGGCCCAAGCAAGATTTAAACTTCCTGTACTGTTGGGCTTTTAACATTGAACCACTGCGCCTTCATTTTGGAGTGAATCCCAGACCACATGCATGAAGGAACTCAGTCTTGTTAACTAGAAAATCCTTATCTTACACCCAATGGATCCATGTTGACTGTGACTTTGTTGTCCAAGTGTGCTGAAAAAAACCCCTCATTTCTTTAACTATCAATGATCCAAGATGTCTTGTGCAGGACAATTTAACATCATGCAAATCATGTTGTCCAAATATCTTAAAATGAAAGGCTCTGCTTATGTCTAAGGTTTCTTGAAGGAATGTGAGCAGATATCAATGTGCACATCCTGTTTTGTGAGATTGCAGCTTCCTCTCGGTGTCCAACCACAGTGCCAGAATATAAAGAGCACTTTTAGCCATTTTCTGCTATGAAACCCATTCACAAAAACTGTACTTATCTTCAACATTGTGTACAAAGATTAAGTGTGTCTGTGCATGTTGGACTAATTTTGCCAGTATTAAAGTCTGATGATGTTCAAGCATTAAGCAGCAGATAATATAAAGGGAAGTCTTGTTGACATGTTTTTAATTACTTTTTTATTTTTGGATCAGCTGGTATTTTGATAAAACAGAAATCAGATATACTCTAGAGTTCAAAACTTTGGTGTTTTTTTTTTTTTAATGTTTTGAAAGTCTCTTATGCTCACCACAGCTGCATTTGATCAAAAATACAGTAGAAACAGCAATATTGTGAAATATTATTACAATTTAAGATAACCATTTCCTGTTTTAGTATATTTTAAAATGTAATTTATTCCTGTGATGCAAAGCTGAATTTTCAGCAGCCATTACTCCTGTTTTCGGTGTCTCAAAATCCTTCAGAAATCATTTTAAAATGCTGATTTGTTGCTCAAGAAACAATTCTTATTATTATCAGTGTTGAAAACAGTTGTGTTGCTTATTTCGTGGAACCCATTCTTTGATGAACAGAAATTTCAAAAGAACAGCATTTAATGGATCCTTGCTGAATAAAAGCATTAATTTCTTACAAAAAAAAATGTTACTGACCCCAAACATTTGAATGGTAGTGTAAATGACAGAACTGAATTTACATTTTTAGGTGACCTATACCTTTAAGAATTCCCCCCTTAACCCACTTATCTCTGGTCACTCTAATCTATGTTCCTAAACAGGGTTTTGCGGATAAACTCCATGTTTACCCGGTTAGTAATCTCTGTTCACCAGTGGGTGTATTTGCCCACCTTTGAGCGGACACCTCCGTCCCAGAGAGGACAGCGGCACGGTCGATGTTGGAACATGTTGCTTATTTGCGATTCATTCCCGTGTCAGTCTTTCTGGCTTATAGCTCTTTGTTGTTTTTGAGCCTGTGCGTTAATGTACAACAGAACAGGAAATGCTTGCAGAGTTTGTGGGAGGGCACATAGGAATGACGTTTTTTGTGAGTGCAGAGGGAAAAGGGGAAATTAAAGAGAGAGGATGAATTCAGGAGCACGAACGCAGAATTCTTTAATGTGGTCGTGTTTGTACGACTGTTGCTCTGGCCTCTCCCTCTTCACCACTTCCTGTTCGAAACCTGCATGGATATGGTTAAAGGAAGGTTTTTACAAATGCAGTCACGCTGGGAAGGATGTCTGATTATCTGATCAATTGAAACAAGGTGCCGGTCCGAGCTTATCCACAGACACATAATAAATTTGGCTTTGCTGTACCATAGCACCCTCCTTCAGATCCTTAAACCTTGTTAGGGTCATTAAATGTGTCCTCAAGCCTCCTTTTCTTGCCCAATAAACACACAACGCACAGAGAGTGTAAATTTGGCAAATTTAAATTAGATTGAAACTCTTATGAAATTATGCCACACTCTCACCTCAGTTACAACGATACACACTTTTTAAATCCGTACAAGCAAATGTTCTTTATTGGCATTGATGGTTCCATAAAGAACCTTTTATATCTATGGAAACTTTCCTTAAAAGTTCTTAGAAGAACTTTTTTTTTTTTCTTAGTGTGAAGAACATTTAACAATCAAAAGAAGCTTGCGCATCAAAAAGGTTCTGTGGATGTTAAAGGTTCTTCCTGGAACCATTGATGCCAATAAAGAACCTTTATTAGACTTTATCAAACTTACAATTTGAATCGGTGTAATGACTCTACATTCCATTTTTGGTTCCAAATGAACCTTTCAGTTAACAGTTCTTAAAAGAACCATTTAAAGGGGTCCTATTATGCTCTTTTACAGAGTCTTGATTTTGTTTTGGGGGTGTACTAGAACAGGCTCTCATACTAGGTTGTTCAAAAAACACATTATTTTTCACATATTTTACATGATTACAACACCTCTCTCCCCAGTCTGGCATGAACGGCTCGGTTCTGGAAAAAATATCAGCCTGATTATGATTATTAAATTGTAAATATGCTGTTGATGTTTTCTCTGACAGATATGGAGAGTGCTATCACGCTGTGGCAGTTTCTGCTGCAGCTACTGCTGGACCAGAGCCATAAGCACCTGATTTGCTGGACGTCCAACGACGGCGAGTTCAAGCTGCTCAAATCGGAAGAAGTCGCCAAACTCTGGGGCCTGCGCAAGAACAAGACCAACATGAATTACGACAAACTTAGCCGAGCACTACGCTACTACTATGACAAGGTTACACAAGCTCATATTTAATAATCATTCTCATCAGAAAATGCAACAATTTTTGTACGGAAACCTGATTTTTTTTGTGTGAAGGTCCACCCCTAAACCTAATCGTCAGTGGGGCTTAAGCAGATCGTACTAAACCGTACACCTGAGATTGTACAAATTCATCAAATTGTCAAGTAGTTCCAAATTGCCATTAGAGGTATAGTAATCATCCTCTTTCTTTTGCAGAACATCATAAAGAAGGTGATTGGCCAGAAGTTTGTATATAAGTTTGTCTCGTTCCCTGATATTCTGAAGATGGATCCCCAAGCGGTGGAGCTCGGTCGGGATGGGGGTCACGTTGCAGGGGGCGTCATGTTGCAGGAGGTGGAGTCAGATTGCGGCGAGGGGGAGGAGTCTCCGAAGCTGTCGCTGTCATCGCTGAGAAGCCCCGCCTGCAGGAATGAGTATCTCCACTCTGGTCTGTACTCGTCATTCACAGTCAGTTCCCTCCAAAGCCCGCCTCCGCTGCTGCGTCCAATCAAAGTCGAGAAGCAGCGATGGGGTGAACGAGGGGAGGAGGGACAAACGGTGATTCGCTTTGTCACTAATCGATCAGAAAAGGTCGTTCCCCTGGCTTCCTCGCCCCCTCCTGCATCCACGGAGGTTTTCTTCACTTCAAAAACCTCGCCCTGCTCATCCCGTAGCCCCTCCCCTTCTCATAGCCTTGTCTACATGCTGCGGCAAGAGCGGAGCCCGGGGGCTCGCATAGACGAATCAGAGCAGAGCGCTCAGCCTCTAAATTTATCATCCGGTCACAGGGAGCGAGCCCAGAATCAGGCCACACCCCCCGAGAGGAGGACCGGTAGCAACGGACTGCCTCCCAAAGCTCGGAAACCCAAAGGGCTGGAAATCTCCGCCCCTTCCATACTGTTTTCAGGAAGTGACTTGGGCTCCATCGCCCTCAACAGCCCAGCACTGCCCTCAGGGTCACTTACACCAGCCTTTTTCACTGCACAGGTACCAAACTATGTCATATGTACATTTATTTTTATGTCACATATACACGTTCCAAAACCTAATGAGCTGCCTATCTAGACAGCATTTTAAGGCATCAAAGCAAAGGATTTTTCTCAAATATAGGAACAAAACATAGTGCCTTCTTTTGGCTAATAGCAAATAACTCCAGAATGCATAGCGACAAGCTCAGTCAAAGAGAAAGAAATGTCAAATACATTTCATTCAATACCAAAAATGACTGATAATGAAAAAAATGACTATTTTACATAACATTTGTGAGATATGTAATCTTATACTATTAGAATACAGTGTAGTTGCTCAAATGTAACTAAAAATGACACTAGACAATGGTTTAATGCTGTGTTCATTAGAATATTGTGTCTAATGAGTTAGCTTGGCAACATTCTTAGATTCAATTGTGAGAAGTCAATCCAAGCAGTAGATAGCAAGGCAGCTGTGTTTTTAGCAAATAGGTAATATTGGCCTGATTTTGTTAGTAATTACAAGGCAAATGGTATCTTCTTGTACATTAGAAGTGTACTTATATTTACCAGAAGTATCAACAGTTTTGTCTAAGTAAAAAAAATGACTTGATCCCAATATGCAACGTACAATGCTATGTATTTTTATGCTTGGTAGACTATTATGTTGGTAGCTTAGTGAGATGCTAATTTTGCCCTATTTAGTTGCTGCCTTTGTAGAGCTTTTGGATCAGGTTTCATTCAGCTGTAGGCTGCTCTCTAGGTTTTGGAACTGAGCTATAAATGAACTCCAAAAACATCCTCTCCAGCACTGTTTATAGGCCTTCAACAGGTAACAAATAGACAGGACACACACCTATACTGGTAATACAGCTATTCTATGAGACGTTTCGGTCTTTACTGGGTGTGTAGGGAGAAATGCGTGACAGGCAGACAGGTTTTAAAAAAAGAGGTAGAGTGAAACGGGAGGAGGGAAAAGACAGACAGAATGGCATAAGCAAGAGAAGAGAGACCTGTAAGTAAAGCCATATGTCCGTAATCTCGCACACTACAGCAAAGTGACATAGGACAGAGAAAAACAGAGCGAGAACGAGAAATTGATTTCACATGCTGCCCTATAGCCACAACCTGGTGATCCAAAGTCCATGACCCATGGGAAGCTACATGCTTGTGTAGATTTCTCTCCCGCTGTCTCTCTTAAAGGGATAGATCACCCAAAAATTTTATTTAACATTGTTTTACTTACACTATTTACTTAGATTTGACGCAAATGCAAGTGTATACTATGCATACTCTGTTTGATAGGTTGCATGAGCACAGATGTTTCATCCTTGTCCAGTATCTGCGCGGTTTCTCTCCGAACATTTTACACATTTAAACTAGTGTTGCCGATATCTGTTAACCCCTTCAAATGCATTCGTCATCGCAGGTGTCTATTGTTGTTGCCATCGCCAGTACTTAGTTAATGTTGTTGTTACATTTGCTTCTTTTTTGACTGTAAACAACGGGTTGGGAAGTGTTGCCACCTTGTGGACAAATTAGTTACTGCAAAAAAATACAAGGCGCATATGCGTGGATGTGTATATGTATCGAGCCTAGCATACACAAAAAAACCGAAGCATACTTTAGTAAAGGATAAGTTAAGCTAAGGGGACGCTTTTCTTTTTTACTTAAATATCAGCCTGTTCCTATAGACCAGTGTTTCTCAACCCTGGTCCTGGGCGCCCCCCCAGCACTGCACATTGTGTGTGTCTCCCTAATCAAACACACCTGATTCAACTCATTAGCTCATTAAAAGAAACTCCAGGACCTGAAATGGGTGTCAGATAAGAGAGACATACAAAATGTGCAGTGTTGGGGGGCACTCAGGACCAGGGTTGAGAAACACTGCTATAGACCTTAGTCAGGGTAGCGCAATAATTCATATTTGACAGAAATGAAACCGAGGCTGAGGGATAAAAGTACAGCGTGTTCAATGGATTGTACTGTTATTTAACAACATAACGATTGTCCAGTTGATGAAACGTCTTTTTGAAAAAAACTTTCAGTAGACAAAAACTCAATAAAACTCAAAGTTGGCGAGAATGACGAAATCCATATAAAGACTGTAATTCTATCCATCACAGCCTCTTTAAATTCAATATGGCGTCTAACCTGACTAAGTTCCATTGTACGACGTCAGAAAGCTTGAAATATAGTGCACAAGCCGTATGGACTAATTTTATGGTGCCTTTTGGAGTTCAACAGTGCCTAGTCACCATTGAAAATTTGAAATTGTAAACAAAAGAAAGTTAAACAGATTTTGAACGACATTAGGTTGAGCACATGTCTGAAGTTTAATTAGGGGTGAACTGTTGCTTTAAATATACAGAAACCTCTGCAACAGACAGTTATTTCATAATGCCAGATTGAGCAAAATGCTCCATCTGCTTGGATAGATAAAACAAGCGGCAACTTTGTCCAGGACAGTTGCCCTATGACTTACAGGCATTGCATTTGTGCTATAAATCCTTAATGCTTCAAAACTTGTACTGTTCAGGTGAAAAAATCTGGGAAAATGTTTTAAAGGGGTTCTCAGACTATTTGTGCATGACAGGCTTCACATGCTATTGCCTGCTAACCGATGCAAAGACGTGTCTGGACATGCGGAGACTCGCATTCGCCTTTTTCAAGTTTCAAAAAGACATTGGGATTTCATGATCTATGACTTCAGTGACTAATACAAATAATACCCATGTTCTTCAGTGACTAATACAAATAAAATCTCATGTTCCTGTTCCCCCCTTTCACGATACCTCCTCTACTCCTCTCTCGCTGTCTCTCCAGACTCCCTCTGGTTTGCTGTTGACGCCCAGTCCTCTCCTGTCCTCCATTCATTTCTGGAGCAGCCTGAGTCCCGTAGCCCCTCTCAGCCCCGCCAGGCTACAGGGCCACGGGTCACTCTTTCAGGTACACACAAAACATTCTCAAACCTGTAAAAAGAGGAATCTGAAAATGAGGATGTGTTTTATTTTGTTTAGCACTGACGTGCAAGTGTGCTTTAGAAAGTGATTCGCTTGTCTGTTTTGTGAGGGTATTTGTGTTTGGTGTCTTGTTTCAGCCTTCATGTGAGCGAGAGGGGAAATCCTGTGGATACTTCCTGTTCTGGCCCGGGGGAGAGTGAGTGTGTAGGGAGATGTGTGTGTGTGTGTGAGTGAAAAAGACAGAACGCAAACTGTGTCTTTATGCTCATCTTGCATTTTGAGGGGAGGGTCCTGTCTTTATGGTAAACATCGCTAGCAGCAGGAAACCATTAAGGTAACCACGGCGACTTCTTGGCTCTGCCTTTAGAGGAATTGTGACAGTTCGTGATGTGCACTTTTACTACCCCACACACACACACACACAGAGACAGACGTACACTCACTCCCCCACTCTCACTTCCTCCCTGGGCGGCCATAGTGGGAGTTTTCTGGTTGGTCACATGACTGTCATTCCTGCTGTTATTGGCTGCAGTGGAAAACTTTTGTGGCATGTCTGGCTTTTTTTCTTTCACAGTTTAATTCTCCTTGGGGCATTTTTGTGTCGATTTTCTATACCTGTAAAATATATACCAGGAAAAAAAAAGATGCTTTTGAGTCAATCCGGGAAATGGATTTACTAGCATATGAGTGTGTGTGTGTGTGTGTATTAGGGTTTGGAAATAAGCAACAGATGTTTCCGCTCTGCATTGGATATGGGAGAAAAACAGCTTCCTGTTCAAAAAGGGAGGGGGGTGATAACTGAAAAAGACTGTGTCTGTGTGTATAGTCAGCTCTCACATAACAGGAAGTTCCTCTCCTAGCGCTACCGTGATGGACTACGAGCGTGTTTGTTTTGTGAACCACAAAGACAGGTTTTTTTCCCCCCTCACTGAGGTGTATTAGGGATATATTTACGGAAACTTTTAAGAAATTCCCAGGTTTTCTTTTCTTCTTTTTTTTGAAGCCCAGTTGTAAGTATACTTTATGGTGGTATTTGTTGTACTAATTTTATGGTATTTTTAAAAAATAAAAGAATAAGGTAAATAATTCGTTATTGTATTATAGGAATAAGATTTTTAGGGGGAAATGTCCTGAAAATGTCATCAGTGCTAAAATCGGCCCTACAGGCATAATTTTATTCGTTTCTTTATATTTATCATTATTAGGTTAAAATAAAATAAGCATTATAAATAAACATTTATACATAATTAAAATAACAGCAATACTACTACTACTACTAATACATATACAAGGACACATGTCCATTTAACTTCTAAATAAATAAATACTACTACTACTACTACTAATAATAATGAAATGCAGGTATATTTAACCTCAAAATCAAAATTAAAGCAGTAAAAATGTTAAGTATTACCGGTATTATTATTGTTATAAATAATAATAATAATAATACATTTTACATATAAGGAAATGCCCAGGTAGTATTTAACCTCAAAATAATAATAATAATAATAAATCCCATTAAATAATAACTGGATATTTCTTGGTAATATTTAACCATTAAGATGTGAACTATTATTTGGCCTGGTCATTCTACTGTTACCGTTAGACGATGTTTCCTGATACAATCATTTCAATGTTTTTTTTTTTAACACTACAAAGCTCTTGCTGTGTAGTTACTAGATATATATATATATATAACATATGGAGCCTGTGATTCAGCATGTGTAGCATTACCTTAATGTTCTGTTTGCTTTCTGACTCTCACAGTTCCCCACCCTGCTGAACGGGCCGCTGCCGGTACCCCTCCCCAACCTGGACTCCTCTTCATCCTCCTCCTCCTCCTCTCTCCTCCTGTCCTCCAGCGCCCAGAAATCCTGATTTCTGGACACTTCACATATCCCCTCCCCAGAATTATAACTTTGCTATTACACTAAGGAGGAATTATGGACCTTCATGTCATTTTTGAGCCAGACTGCACTTCACCCCCTTGTGGCCACCTATAGCACCCTTCAGTTCTGTAAAATTTTGGACCAGCAAACTGTGCGTTTTCTTCTTGAACTCCGGCTGCAATCCAAACAGCTCACCAAAATTCCCTCCGCAAGCTCTTAAAATAGAGAATTATCATGAGGTAATGCCAAAGAACATGAAGTGTCCTTTTGAGAAGATGGTGAGCGATTGGAAACGGAGCCTTAAGAGAATCTGTATCCTGGAGAACATGTTCAAGACTGGCCTTCTTGGCAAGTTGTTTTTCATAATCTCAATTTCAGATTGAGACAAACGATGCTGGACGACGTAAAACACGTTCAAAACAGCGTAGACTTTCTGTACCTCCTTCTAAAGGAAAACTTCAGCGTTCCCCTCCTGTTCTCCATTCCTAAGGTGCTTCAACTGGAAAGATCTCCTGTTTTGTCGACCAGTTCAGAAAGAGGAAACGTTTCAACCATATTAAAGGAATCTCATTAGCATTTAAGTCTCTTTTTTTATCTTTCCGAGGCTGTGAACCGGGTTTCTGTTCGTTTGTTGTTTGTCTGGTATTGTAATGTATTGTATAATATTGCGTTGTATGCACTGTGCTTCAAATGTACTACCGGCTGTGCCTTTTTTGCGCGTGTAAGAATTGTGTATTTTCCTGCTTAAATACGTTTTTGTAACAGACGAAATTCCATTTCAATATTGGAAAGAAAAGCTTTGTAATAGCTTCGGTTTTATTTTTCATTAATGAATTGATTAAAAAATGTATTCTCGTATTGCTTTTATATTTTTTTGCTTTTCAAGAGTCAATAAAATGTGCCTTGTGTTTTTAAAATAAAAAGCATTGAATGCGACGCAACGTTCTCGCGTCTGAACGAACACCTTGCATTCGGGAAGAAATGCACACAGACACACAAACATAATAAACATACGACAGAGTTCGCTGTATGAAACAGACCATGTTTACTTCACTGATTAAGAGAAATAAATATCTGCAGTACAAAGAGTCAAAGGACTGTGAGCATCAGTGTTTCACGGAGCTTACAGGACAACACGCACTCCATGCGTCACGTATACACACACGCAATCACGCACACACCCACGCACGCGTCTCCAGAAACAATTGACTCCGATTCGACAATATTAATCAACATCTGTCAGTTCAAAAAAACAACAACAGTCATCTAAAATCTGATATCTTCTGCGTTCTTCATGTTTATAAATGCTGGGAAAAAAATTAATTGGTCCAATGCTGCTGTCAAAAAGTTTTTCGTTATTACTTTTTTCTTTTTATACACACAATATCGTTTTCTCTTCTGAATAAAATCAAGCACAAATGTGGAACAGTCGGACCCCAACATGCCACGTTAAGATACCATTATTCAAAGAAGGGTCAATATGTAACATTAAAAAAAAAAAAAATCCTCTTAATACTGTTAATGAAACTATCTTCATGGCCATCGCTTGCATGGAGCAAAGGGCTCTCTGTACAGTTCCAAATCTCCAACCTCACTTTCTCGCTCTTTTACAATCGTCGCATACACTCAAGCTACAGAGGAGCTCTATTAATAGAAGAAACTGGTTTTGATGATGCCTCAGGAGCTCTAACGGTAAAAGAAAAATTAAAAAGGCATCTTGCATACAAGCACTTCAGTTCTAATAGGATCACTCTGAATGAATGCAAAAGGAGAGATGGTCCGGTTCTCAGTTCAAATTGTTGAGGTCACAAAGTTCCTGCTGGTCCAGTGTTTGTTTTTTTCCCACCCTCGTTTTGCGTCTTTCTGAAGCCCACCTGGTCGAGATTGGTCCCTGGTTTGCTTGACGTGGCCTTTGAGGAACAAATCCACATATTTCTTGAAATGATAAGTTAAAATGTGAGGTTTTGGAATTAATATTTTGAGCGTCGCTCGGTTTGAAGCACAATCATCATGCCAGGAAAACCAAAAGCAAATTCAAAACACTCGTATAGGCATTCCGGGATATCCTGCTTTATTGGCACGTAAATGGCTTTCTAACACACACAAGAACACACACACTTTCCCACAGCAGCATCCGCGCACACACAGGCTTTGAGGTCATGGTCATTTGCTCTGTGTGGCAAGACAAACACACGGAAGCCACCGCAAAATCACAGAGCACACAAGCTCATAACAAACACACTGTATGAAACGGCAAAGCAGCACCTGCACAGACACACAGATAGAGTGCAGGTACCTGGGCGCATGATTGATGAAGGGCTGAGGCTTGTATTTGGGGAAGTTGTAGGATTTGAACTCTTCGATGGACGAGATGCCGGGCCAGTTGTCCTCTGTAGGTGTACCTGTTTCACACAAAGCCAAAACATCCATTAAACACTTTACTTTAGAGCCTGTCTTCATTTAGCACATAGCTAACACTTTCTAAACAGAGCTGATATTTATGTTTATGCTATGAACTGATATCGTGTCCAATTTTATAAATACAAAATGTTTAAAGTATCCACAATATCGATTAAAGAGCATTGCTAAAATATGATTTAAATTTATGCATTTAGCAGATGCCTTTATTAAAAGCAACTTGCACTGCTTTCAATGTATTTTTTTTAATCAGTTCATGCTTTCCCTGGGAATCAAAACCATGACCTTGGCACTGCTAGAACCATGTGGTACTGTTTGAGCTACAGTTAAAAAAATATATAGTTTGAATATAGCTTAAAAAATAGTTTAAAACCTCCTTTCCAGGTTCTTTTTTGCATCCACACTCCAGGATGCACAGTTAAACACATCAGGTGAGTGTCAGCCAGACAGGATTTCAGCTGAACTGTGGTAACCTACTGTACCATGTGATCTCACAGTTTCCATGCAAAAGTGTGTTTGTGTGGACAGCAAGCATGGCAGCTCAGATGGTTGCAGTTTGTTTTTTAAAGCAGGTGAGAAGCACTTCTGAGTCTGAACACCATGACACGTCTGGTCTGAGTGTGTGTGTGTGTTTGTGTTTAATGTCGTAATGTCTGGAGTTGAAGTGTGCGTTTCATCATGCAGGCTCTGAATTGAATCATTTAGTTGGAGAGCTGGGTGTGAGCATGTGGGTGTGTGTGTGTGTTTGCTCACCCAGTAATCTGAAGATTAGATGCAGCTCATCTTCAACGGTGGATCCTGGGAACAGCGGCCGACCTGCAGCCATTTCATAAAATATACATCCAACACCCCTGAGACAGAGAGAGGATAAGAAAGAGCATACAGGAGAGGACTGAATGTAAATGATGAATGTAAATAAACAGCGACAGACACACTCACCACATATCGATCTGTGTGGAGTACTCGGAGGATCCCAGTAGTACATCAGGAGGTCTGTACCATAAGGTCACCACCTCATTAGAGTAAGTCTTAGTGGGAACAGACTTGGCTCGTGCCAGACCTACAAACACACACAAACTTAAAATATAAATTATATATATATTGAATAAATCATAGACATTTTTATGTGCAGCAAAAAATAAATGAATAATATATTTTTAATGAAAAAGAAATTACATACAATATAAAATAAAATGTACATTTTGAATGTAAAATATTATAATATTAAAATAAAGTATATAAAATATATATTAAAATTTGTATGCATTTGAAATATTACACTTACTGTTTATATGTAGAATAAAATCAAAGTAAATTCATTTGTAAATTAATAAATTCATAATACAATGTATTTGTATTGTAAAATAAATTACATCAAATAAAATGTATATTTTAACTATATAAATATCATAATATTAAAATATAACTTGTATTTTAAAAAATATTTTTTATAATTATATTCATTTGAAATGTATAATAGTTAGTTTATACTTTTCTAATTGATGAAAATTAAAGAATTATATGAACTAATGAAACAAAGTACATAATATATACATTTGTAAATACATAAACGCATAATATATTATAATATATTTTTAATGACAACTTAGTTAAATATATAAAATTAAATAAAAAAATATATACAATTATATAAATATAATATAAAAATATGTATAACAAATTGCAAAATGCAGTTAGTATAATATACATTTCTAACTGATGAAAAATGAAGTTCATACTATATAAAATATATTACACTACATATTTGATCATTTATTTGACAGCATAGTGTTAAACATACCAAAGTCGGCCAGTTTGAGTTCACCCCTTTCATTGATGAGCAGGTTCTGTGGTTTCAGGTCCCGGTGCAGAACCTTTCGTTTGTGGCAGTACGCCAGTCCTCTCAAGATCTGGAACAGGAAAATCTACAACCACACATGGACTACAGGTTAGAAGACCAGAAACAGAATGTTTCATGTGTTGCATTGCACTGATAACAACAAACCAACCGTTCATGTTTTCTTAAATCCATCTGGTGCAAAACAAACAGATATGGGACAGACCTTAACGTTGTGCATGCTCATGATGTTTCCACAATCATCCATGTACTGCTTCAGATCCTTATCCTGCAGGAAGCCATCAGAGAACAAATAAATAAATGGAGTGAGCAAATGAAACAGAATGACACACAGAGGAGCAGTATGGGACGTTCACTCACCAGGTACTCAAAAACCAGAGTGAGGGATTTGTCCGTGTGGACAATATCATGAAGCGTGACGATGTTGGCGTGCTTTAAATCCTTCAATAATGACACTGAAAGAGAGAAAACGGCAGGATCGATCAGGGCAATATCAACATCAGTGTCTCTGCATCCAAAGGGGCTTTTAGGAGAGATGAAGAGAATGAGACACAGAGAGAGAGATTCCTCACCCTCTCTAATCGCCGTGCATGGAGCGCCCTCCTCGTGCTCCAACCGGATCTCTTTCAGAGCTACCAGGTTATCCGTCAGTTTGCTCCGCCCCTTGAAAACGGTGGCATACGTCCCCTACAATACAGTTACAGTAATGATTAGATTTCAGAATGCAAGTGTTTTGGTTCTCAGAAAATGTTTAATGTTCATCAAGGCTTTTTGTCGAAGTTATACACTAGGGATGTCGTTAACGGATTAATCATTTACTGACAAGTATCAATCAATGTTATTGGTTTAAAAAAATATAAGAAATAAAAATGAATGAATTCATAAATATTACTTTCCTACTGTATAAAAAAAGACAAAGAAGAAATATAAAATATCTTATGTACAGTAATTTCCTGAAATTTGTTAACCAATGCTATCAGTTAAATAAATAAATACATTTTAAAGTTTAATAAAAAAAATACTATTTTAACAAATAGTACTTATCTTATGTACATTCACACAAGTTTTACACTAGGAGTATATTCAATGGAGGTTCATCAAGGCTTTTTGTCGAAGTTATACACTAGGGATGTAGTTAACGGATTAATCATTTACTGACAAGTATCAATCAATGTTATTGGTTTAAAAAAATATAAGAAATAAAGTAAAATGAATGAATTCATAAATATTACTTTCCTACTGTATAAAAAAAGACAAAGAAGAAATATAAAATATCTTATGTACAGTAATTTCCTGAAATTTGTTAACCAATGCTATCAGTTAAATAAATAAATACATTTTAAAGTTTAATAAAAAAATACTATTTTAACAAATAGTACTTATCTTATGTACATTCACACAAGTTTTACACTAGGAGTATATTCAATGGATTTATTAATTACTGAAAAGTATTAAGCAATGTAATTGGTTTAAATGTTTTTTAAAAAAGTAAAAAAAAAACTGTTGTATCATCCACCGAACTATTAATTACTTAGTGCACTTTTCTGACCGGGCAAAGTAATGATGAAAGGTCAGGACTAGACACATCGTACCTCTCCCAACTTGTCCAGTTTGATGTAGGTCTCCAGTTTCCCAAAGCCGATTTCTGACTATAAAAAGAGAGAAGGCGAGAGAATGCTTCATTAATGCGATCTGGTTAATGCTGAACAGGCCTGCATGTGTTCAACAGACCTTATCAGTGAGAAACACGTGTCTGGAGTGTTGCTCGCTGTCTCTGATATCAGCAGCCAAAATCATTTCCCAGACAAAGCCATTAATCACACTCACAGTATTCAGACTCCCATGGGCACCAGAGGGCACCAGAATGCCAACATAAACCCCCTCTTCTTTACACACATTGAGGGTTGGAGGTGGGGACGACGTAGATGGATGACAGCTAAGAACAATGGATGCCAAGAAACTCAGACGCAAAAGCAGGGGGCTTTTCACATGCATGTATGTGGCCAACAGACAAAGAACATGGTATGTGTCTTTCTGCTCAACTGAGAGTACCACACAATGTTTGTAGCAACACACTGGGTTTCTCGTCCATGGGCCGGGTTTATCTGCAGCAGTCCATGTTGTTTTGAAAAGCTTGCTGTGGACTGTGTACTCATTAACTAGAGCTGAATATATTCTGCAGACGTAATATTTTACTCGCCCTAAAAATGTCCTTTAGTCATCCTCATGTCAATCCAAACTCCTTTGACATTCTTTCATCCACGGCGCACAAAAGAACTGTCTTTTGCATTCAATAAAGTATGTACCATGAGTTTTGAACCTTCAAAAAAGCACTTTAAAAGTTGTCCATTCGGCTTGTGCACTATATTTCTATAAGTCTCATAAAGGCATATTATAGTTTTGTGTGAGTTATTCTATGTGCTTCTCAAATCACATTCGATTAGATCACATTTTGTAACCAATCGTGGCCCACAAAGTTATTACACAGCTTCAAAACACCCATAATATAGTGCAAAAGCCGTATGGACAAATTTTGGAAATTTGAGAGAATTGCTATTTTTTTTTTTGTGGAAAACTTATTTTTATATCTTTTATTGGATATAATCATTATATTTTTTTAATAGATTTTTAAAAATAAATATATCTTCAAATTTTGTGGTGAAATAGGACCTGTATTAGCAACACAGAATAGAGCAAATAATTGTGTTTTTTAGGAGTTTGACCGATCCTGGTTATTGTATGATTTCATTGCATTGATTAATAAAAACATCTTAGACATGTGCAAAAAAATGATTTGGTACATGAGGGTGATTAAATGCTGACAGAATTTTCATTTTCAGATGAACTGTCCCTTTAAATGGATGTAAAACACACTATATTATGCATTTCACAGACAGCACTTGATTTAAAATTATGGTTTAAAAGTTTGTGGTCAGTAATTTTTTCTGGTTTTGAGAGAAGTTTCTTTCCTCACCAAGGCTGCATTTATTTGATCAAAAATACAGTAAAGCAGTAATATTTTTGCAAAATATTATTAAAATGTAAATATTTTCTATTTGAATATATTTTACAATTGTATTCATTTTTGTTATATTTTCAGCATGATTACTCCAGTCTTCAGTGTCACATGATCTTTCAGAAATCATTCACATATGCTGATTTGCTGCTCAGGAAATATTTCTGTTTATCAATGTTGAAATCAGTAGTGCTGGTTAATATTTTGTAACATTATAAATGTCTTTCCTGTCACTTTTGATCAATTTAATGCATATTTTGCAAATTAAAAGTATTATTACTGACTGCAAACTTTTGAACGATAATGTACATTTATCTTTCTCATTGTTAAAACCAAATTCTCTCAGCATGACAATGGCTTGCTGTTTGACAGCCGTTGTCATAGTTTTAACCCTGCCAGATTAAATCATTTACATAAACCTTATTGTTTCAACACAATGTGGAATTTATTCATCTTGGACACCATGATCCCACAGCCATTCATGTCAGAAGAGAAACTTAATGTTGAGTCGTGTTGCTATGCAGCATGGTTGCTAGTAGGTAGATATCCCATCATGCTCAAACAAAGAGACGCATGGTATATTATGAAACGTGATTTATTTGTGTCTGAGATAAAATGCTACTTCAACGAGGAGGTGTGTCATGTTTATGTGGTTTATAGAAAGTATGAGACAAATATGACAGCATTAGAAGGTAAACCACGTTTAATGTCATTAAACCTTTGATAAAGATGATGAAGGGTTGATTCACGCAAACTCACCAGCGAGGCTCTACGTGACCGTCGGCTGAGGGGTTGGTCAAACGGCGGGCTGCTCAGCTGCAGCTTTTCCAGGTAGCCGTCAGGAATCCGGATATCAGCAGGCAAAGACAAGCGTTTATTCAGGTCCTGAGAATCAAATCACACACACATAAGCAAACAAGTCAGTCGCGAGGGACAAAATAAGCTCAGTTCTTATCAAAGTAGGAATCAGATTAATAACTGACGCTTGGTGACTTCATTTGGTATGCGCGTCTCGTCTGAGAGAAATGTGTGTGTGCTTGTTTTAAATAAGCGTGACTTCATAAAGCCATTCTCAAACCAAAGCATTAGCATCTCCCATAAAACGCTTTAAGTCACGCTTTAAGTCTCCTCTATTTACATTTCTCTCTTCAAGTACAATACTTGTACACAACTATTGAACCAATGAGATTATTTCAATACTTGTGTACAAGTAGAGGTTGAAAGAGGAGTGAATCATTTCACACTAAAATCAAAAGAAAAAACTATGATATTTTGCATTATGACTTTTTTAATAACATTAAAATGAGCACATTAATCTTAAATTAAGCACATTTACCCCCACAATTCTCATTACTTTAATGCAAAATAAAACAATTTGTGCTACTATTTAAAGTTTAGACAAGACAATTTTCATAACTGTCACAGTGATGAGAATCAATGAATTTGAGAATAATGAAAATTACAAAATAAAACATCCAGATGCATGACAGAGTATTTAGGAAATAACAATAAAAAATAACAATACATTTTTTTTTTAATAAATAATAAAATCTCTCAAACATTTATGCAAAAAATGCTTGTAATACTTAGTAATAATAGTAAATTATGCATTATTACAAGAAACTAACCGTCTAAGCCTTGGTAATATATTTTTAAACCAATTAAAGTATAACAAATTCTATAATGACAAACTTCAAATGGATACATAATTTTATTATTTATTATTTATTATGTAACTATTATATAAATTAATTATATATATATTTTTTTTATATATATATGGATATTATTTTATGTTATTACATGTTACAGTAATGAGATTTTGGTGGTAAAACTAGCTTAAATGCCCTGAAAATAATGTGATAAATACATAACAGTAAACTACATCCTTAAAGAAATTTCTTATGCAATTTCTCTTTATTCCCCTCTTAATGTTTAAGGAGTAAAATGTGGCCTGACAACTCTTCATGAGATTCACCTATATATTGTTAAATTATATCTACATATTTATTGGCTTTTAAACTGTGTATGTAGTTGCAGTGACCCAATTCATACGGCAGGGGGCAAAAACACCAGAGACAGCGAGAGTGAGGAACACATGCCCAAATAACTAGCTTGGACTGAGGTTTGCAATTAAAACCCCAGAATAAGAAGCTTTAAATGCTTTATGTAGCAAGAGTGTGACGTGAATGTCTTGAAGTAGTCAGGTTAATTCTGATAATAAAAACAAATGAGCTTTTCTATTTCAAAACCCTCTATCAATGTTATTCAAACCCTCTTTTAAACAATGTTCTGCAGAGAAAAGAATCGAAAAAGTGGAAATAGAACGAGTAAGAACACAAAGACAGAATCCATTCCTTTCAGATGCTTGTGTGCAGTAAGACAGAAAGCCAGTTACTAATAGCAAAGAGCAGACCAACCTTGCTAGACAGACACAGATGTTTATGATTCGAAAATCACAGTCTGACACTGTATGAACCAAATGCGACGCCTGTTTCCAGTGGTTTTTTGAAGTCCAATACGTAGTTATGAGAAGCGGGATTTTGAACCAATGAGATTTCACAGTGGGCAGGGCTATGTAATATATTAGCCTAGACAAAGAACCAAAATATTTTGACAAAAAAGAAACCAGTTTGATTTACAAAATGTTCTGTTATTTGTTGTGGTTGTGGCTGAAACTAGGTAATTGACGTTTAACACCTAAGAGCTCTTGAACTGCAGAAGTTCCTCTTATATACTATCTGCACCTGCCCACAAAACTAAGGTCGACCGATGTATCGGTTTTGCCGATTAATCGGCACCGATAGTTGATTGCTGGAACTATCGGCAAAAATCCATGCCGATAGTTTTTCCGGGTTGCGTCCAATGCTGGAGTGGCTGAGAAGCTCCGCTGTCATCATACAGCCGGAGAGCGAGAGCGGCCTCTAGAGGCAAATCACTGTTGCCACGTGCTGTTTGTTTTGACATGTGACACTGCGCGCTGCAGAGCGGGACACTTCAGATGTGCGGATTTAAAACGGACAACGAAATGGTGTGTACACATCATACTGTAGTGCATGTTTTCACGGCATTACCAAGTAATTAATTTGTTGACTAGATGCAGCATTAGTGGAGAAACAACAGCAGAATGTTGCTATCGAGGCTGAGAGGACGCGAACATTAGCAGCACCACAAATGGTTAAAACGTGACCAAAACTCACGCAAGTCTGACCCAAATGTTTAAAGTCACGATTGTTACCATATATATTTGAATTAGTTTATCCAGCTGGTCACATTAATGCATTTGTTATCCAGCGAAGTTCCAGATTTAAAGCTGTGATGTGAGAAAGCAAACATGTTCCTTCAGTCAGAGAGCGCCATTCACACTGTTTTACATTAAATTACATTATATTTGTCCTAAATCGTTGCTAATGTACATTATGACTTCCCCCTAGGCTGTAAAATAGTGTATTGTGCATTTCACAGTGAAACGTTTGTCTTTCTGTGGCTCTAATAAAGTCTGTATGCTTCATATAGAGAGCTATAATATAGACTGCGCTTTTTCTTTCCGTTTTGCTGTTTTTTTAAAGACCGAACTTCAGACTCAATGCCGCTTTTTTTTGTTCATTCTTGAGGTGAACTTTCGCCCGTTTGGTGATTAAATAAACTGAACGCCGCTTGAACTGAATGTGCCGCGTCCGGTATGTGACTGCCATATTTTGTTATTTTGAATAGATGATCATCACATGTTCTAGAATAGAATCAATTAAAGTGTGTGAGTATACATCCAATAACCTCCTATGTATGCATGTAATTTCAATGCTATGGCCTTTGTGTAGATATTTAAAGATGGCCGTCTAGTTAGTGTGTTAATTTCAACAAATGCATTTTTAATCATTAATAATTTTGAAGTTGCTTTTGTTAACATTAGTTAATGAAATATGAACTAACTTTAATGATCAATATATAATTAACATTATTATTCATGTACAAAGTATGATTCAGTACCGTTTTTTTTTATATAGTAAAGCACTATTTTAGTTTTCGTTTAGTATCTATCGCTCTATCTATCTAAAACTATCGGTTGATTAACCTCTACACAAAACCTCCAGATTTTTCAAGAACCGGCATGGAGGAAGGGGAAGAGAAAAGCCAACAAACAGGACGTGGGAGAAAATAGGGGAGGATGAGAGAGAAAACACACCAGAGGAATCCCTCCACCCACACAAGGCCAAAAATAAAGCTCTTAGTAGTGACACATCACCCAGTCTGAAGCTTTCAAGGTAATGCACCCATGCCATGCTTTCTGCTTCCTCCTGTGAATAAGTGAGCTTGTGGCAGGTTTGTGCTGCTGATTAATTTATGGCCACATGCGGTCTGTCTTACCTCCATGGATATGCGCCGGTGAGATCTGCTGCGGAGACACACGCCGGTGGGTGATTGCACTTCGTCCGAGGACGTCCCTGAGGCCTGATCGCTCTCTCCATCTGAACCCATCTTCAGATTCTCATGAACAATGTCTGGGCAAGAGGAATAGGAGGTTAGAAAATGAAAATGTGTGATATATGTGGTGTGAGGTCCTGCTGCTCTAATGGATGAGTGAAGGAAAGAGTTTCTTTGAGTGTATACACATGTACATGGCGGAATCTCAATACTTGCAATAGTTCCCATATACTTACAGTACTACACAAATAAAGGAACGCATGTTTGATTATAGTTAGGCAATTCCATGCGATGAATTTGTTTTAATACCACAAGCCTTTCTGTCGCAAAGTGTAAGCATTTACAAGTACATTTTTATGCTGCTTTTAATTTATTCTGAAAAAAAAAAAAGGATTTAATTCAATTTATTTTTGACCATTATTGGACATTTTTTAAACTAAGATACCAGCCCTCTATTTGACTTTTCAATTTGTAATGAGAATTTGAGAAATAAAATAAATTAATTAATTAAATTAAATACAATTTTGAAGGAGTGTGATTTAAAAATAAACAAACTGTGATTTTTAAAAATTATTTAATTTTTTTTTTAATTATTAACTTTTTATTATATATTTAATTTCACAATTTGACCAATAAATGAAAATATTTAATATTTAAAATGCATGTTAATGGATATATGTAATATTTAAAATGGTTTGATTCTAGTTTGAAAACTTAGATGTGAATTTAAAAAAAATAAAATAAATTGCTTTTAAAAATAGTAACTTATCATAATAAGGCATTTACCAATTGCTTTCTTAATCCAAAAGAAAGTCATCAAATAGTTGATCACAAGGAGACTTTTGAATTAATTTTAAGACCAGCCCCTTTTACACATTACCATTACATCATTTTGTGGTTAATATCAGCTTTAAAAAAATCTGAAAAACTATTTTTAACATACTATGGTTTGGGACACACTAAACTGACTATGTAGGATAGATAGTGTTTGTGTGTGTGTGTGTGTTGGAAATACAGCATGTGATTCCTCCATTTCAATGAAAGACCTTATTCATCCTCATTCCCTTTAAAAACACACACATTCATACCTGTGTACATAAAGTGACATACCCACCGCATATCAGGCTGAACGTCTGTTAATAATTTTCCTGCAGTTCTTGATATTCATGAAAACCAGTCAAACATGACACTGACACACACGCTCTATTCACATCCACCTATGCCACGATTCCTGAGAAAGACACGGATTACACCGAGAACCAGAACATTGTGAAGGGATATGCACTGTCCCATGTGCTTTTTGTTTATACAGCACTTGTGTGAATTATGTCCTCAACTCTTCTCTATTACATAAAAGTATGATCCGGCTTATCGGAGTTGGCCTATGGGCCAAATCATGATGTAATCAGGGTTTAAAAAAAAACACATGCACATTTTCAAATTGAAAACCAGCAGCCGGGAATTAAGAGTCCCGTCCAGTCAACACGTGTTCATGTGCATGTGCATGTACGTGCAGCCTTTTAGTACTTGGAAAAGGGGTGGCCTAAAAGCAACAGAAAATAAAGCTGTTCCGGAAGAAAAGAGATTATATTCCTGCATAAAAGAGTGCTGGGAACTGGAAAAAGTCTAAAAGTGTGGTCGTGACTCTGTAGTTTTATGGCAGGCTGTTTGCTGCCGTATGGCCCCCTTCTCCCTCACCTCATAAGGAGGAGTCCCCCAAGGGTGACATATCGGCCCTGGCCGAGGCAGTAAAAAAGTACCTAACCTGAGGGCCATCCATTACGGCACAGCTGTCTACTGTTTGTCCGCTCTGATGTCTTTAGACCAGAGGGAGAGAGGTGAATCTTGCAGAAACTGTCTGGAAAAGTCCAAGACATTTCAGATTATGAGATCACACACACTAACAGAGAAACGTTCATGGATCGAAGAAGAGTGTTTGTTTTTGCTTTGTAATAAGAGTTTGGCACAAACGCGATTCATTCACTTGGTGAGCATAACCGTTTTTTTACAGCTCTGTGACACAACCCGTCAAAAGGCTTATATAAACGCCACAGAATAAGCCTTAAAAGTTCTCAGAGGTGCAACAGCGCATTCATATGTTTTCAAAGCAGAGTGCAAATGGCTGTGCATTTATTTGTGTTTTTAACTCAATGGGAGTGAAATGAATCTGTCTGAACGCGAAGCTGTGTGTGTTGTACGTCTTCCCCTCTTCCCCCTCCGCTTCGCTGCGCACCACGCCCCCTTTTTTAGCGTTTTTTTAAAACTGTGGTGAGAACTAACCAGTGCTGAAAAGGGGGGTTTCATGACCCTTTAATATACTGAATTTAATGTATTCTGAATATAAAATAAAGTGAAAATAACATAAGCACAAAGGCAGCTAATCTGCACACATGCATTTGTTGCCCAATAAAATAAATAACTGGAATTAAATAAATTAATTTTTGACCATTTTAGACTTTTTAAAGCCAAGGTAGCAACCTCGCTAGACAGATATATGTATATGATTCGAAAATCACAGTCTGACACTTTATGAATCAAATGGTAATGAGAATTTGAGTAAAAAAATAAATAAAAAACACACAAAATAAAATAGAAACAAATAACCAATAATGAGAATTTGAGGGAAAATAAATTAAAATAAACTAATAAAAATAACTGGCAATGAAAATTTGAAGGACAATAATAAATAGGTAATTTGGGGGGAAATGCCCTCAGTTGTCTTGGAAAAAATTAAATAGTTTATGAATGAATGAATTAATAAATAAATAAACGTAATTACATTATTTTTTGTCTATTTTTTTTAAGACAAGGTACCAGTCCTCTGTTTGGCTTTTTAATTGATAATGAGAAAATGAAATGAAATAAAAAAATAAAAATAAAATAAAATGTGGGAAATGTGATTAATTTTATTAATTGAAAAATCTTAATGCTATGATTAGGCTTCATTGTATATGCAAAAAATATATATATATATATTTTTTCTTTTTTTAATCTTTCGACTTTGAGGTGAAACGTGACCTGGACATTTCTTCTTAGAGAGATGAGGAGAGATCAAGTTTCATGACTAGTAACCGCTGTGGCCTCATTTCTGCATCCCGTTACACCAATGAAGTCTTTGAAACAGCGAGACGGTGTGTGTGGAGGTGTGAAAGTGCAGGTAATGTGCCCTTTTTAATCTGACATATTGTGAGGTAACGAGTCGCTCTGCCAAATCACGCCATTTCCCTCCATTCACTCTCCCTTTCCTGCCTTTCATCTTCTTCCACCTCCTCCTCTCAACATCAGAAGCGCAGTGCTCTTTCATTCCGTCAAGCCCGAGACAGCCTCACTTGTAATTTTGCCGCAAGTCATCTGTCTGCCTCACCCCATCGCTCCAGTTTCTGCTCTCCTCCGGCCTTCTTTTACACACTAAAGCTGTGAAAGTTTAGAATGCGCAGTGTTCTACTTTTCCCAAAAAAAAAAAAGTGTGGCACGGAAAAATCCTGCAAGAACGAAAGTGGGTCAAACTCTAATAAACTCCAGACTGTCTTTGAAATCGCTCTGACTTGAAATGCATCCTATTTGAGGAAACTCAAGATGATAATTTATCGAATGCATTTACATCACAGCTTACAAATTCCACAATCTATGCCAAATAAAAAAACAGCCGCTCTCTGACATCACTGTTAACAGATAAGACTGTGGGAATGGGGGCCGGACGCGTCTGGACTTGTGTCTGAGATGGTCTACTGTTTGTCCGCTCTGATGTCTTTAGACCAGAGGGAGAGAGGTGAATCTTGCAGAAACTGTCTGGAAAAGTCCAAGACATTTCAGATTATGAGATCACACACACTAACAGAGAAACGTTCATGGATCGAAGAAGAGTGTTTGTTTTTGCTTTGTAATAAGAGTTTGGCACAAACGCGATTCATTCACTTGGTGAGCATAACCGTTTTTTTACAGCTCTGTGACACAACCCGTCAAAAGGCTTATATAAACGCCACAGAATAAGCCTTAAAAGTTCTCAGAGGTGCAACAGCGCATTCATATGTTTTCAAAGCAGAGTGCAAATGGCTGTGCATTTATTTGTGTTTTTAACTCAATGGGAGTGAAATGAATCTGTCTGAACGCGAAGCTGTGTGTGTTGTACGTCTTCCCCTCTTCCCCCTCCGCTTCGCTGCGCACCACGCCCCCTTTTTTAGCGTTTTTTTAAAACTGTGGTGAGAACTAACCAGTGCTGAAAAGGGGGGTTTCATGACCCTTTAATATACTGAATTTAATGTATTCTGAATATAAAATAAAGTGAAAATAACATAAGCACAAAGGCAGCTAATCTGCACACATGCATTTGTTGCCCAATAAAATAAATAACTGGAATTAAATAAATTAATTTTTGACCATTTTAGACTTTTTAAAGCCAAGGTAGCAACCTCGCTAGACAGATATATGTATATGATTCGAAAATCACAGTCTGACACTTTATGAATCAAATGGTAATGAGAATTTGAGTAAAAAAATAAATAAAAAACACACAAAATAAAATAGAAACAAATAACCAATAATGAGAATTTGAGGGAAAATAAATTAAAATAAACTAATAAAAATAACTGGCAATGAAAATTTGAAGGACAATAATAAATAGGTAATTTGGGGGGAAATGCCCTCAGTTGTCTTGGAAAAAATTAAATAGTTTATGAATGAATGAATTAATAAATAAATAAACGTAATTACATTATTTTTTGTCTATTTTTTTTAAGACAAGGTACCAGTCCTCTGTTTGGCTTTTTAATTGATAATGAGAAAATGAAATGAAATAAAAAAATAAAAATAAAATAAAATGTGGGAAATGTGATTAATTTTATTAATTGAAAAATCTTAATGCTATGATTAGGCTTCATTGTATATGCAAAAAATATATATATATTTTTTTTTTCTTTTTTTAATCTTTCGACTTTGAGGTGAAACGTGACCTGGACATTTCTTCTTAGAGAGATGAGGAGAGATCAAGTTTCATGACTAGTAACCGCTGTGGCCTCATTTCTGCATCCCGTTACACCAATGAAGTCTTTGAAACAGCGAGACGGTGTGTGTGGAGGTGTGAAAGTGCAGGTAATGTGCCCTTTTTAATCTGACATATTGTGAGGTAACGAGTCGCTCTGCCAAATCACGCCATTTCCCTCCATTCACTCTCCCTTTCCTGCCTTTCATCTTCTTCCACCTCCTCCTCTCAACATCAGAAGCGCAGTGCTCTTTCATTCCGTCAAGCCCGAGACAGCCTCACTTGTAATTTTGCCGCAAGTCATCTGTCTGCCTCACCCCATCGCTCCAGTTTCTGCTCTCCTCCGGCCTTCTTTTACACACTAAAGCTGTGAAAGTTTAGAATGCGCAGTGTTCTACTTTTCCCAAAAAAAAAAAAGTGTGGCACGGAAAAATCCTGCAAGAACGAAAGTGGGTCAAACTCTAATAAACTCCAGACTGTCTTTGAAAACGCTCTGACTTGAAATGCATCCTATTTGAGGAAACTCAAGATGATAATTTATCGAACGCAAGTCATCTGTCTGCCTCCCCCCATCGCTCCAGTTTCTGCTCTCCTCCGGCCTTCTTTTACACACTAAAGCTGTGAAAGTTTAGAATGCGCAGTGTTCTACTTTTCCAAAAAAAAAAAGAAAGTGTGGCAAGGAAAAATCCTGCAAGAACGAAAGTGGGTCAAACTCTAATAAACTCCAGACTGTCTTTGAAATCGCTCTGACTTGAAATGCATCCTATTTGAGGAAACTCAAGATGATAATTTATCGAATGCATTTACATCACAGCTTACAAATTCCACAATCTATGCCAAATAAAAAAACAGCCGCTCTCTGACATCACTGTTAACAGATAAGACTGTGGGAATGGGGGCCGGACGCGTCTGGACTTGTGTCTGAGATGCTGGTAAATAATAACCTCATGTATGGGAAGCTCCACACATGAACACAGAGAGCAGCTGGACGGAACCCTTCAACTGTGACACACACTTCTTTTTCCGATCGCCTCCCACTAACCTTCTCCTGACTCACTTCCTGTCAGTGTGTGTGTGAACGCCCACATATGCAGTTGCACGCATGCACACCGGGGTTAGACATGACTGCTCCCATGACGACAGGGAGATAAGGTTGAGCGGCCCACATGACTGATCATTTAATATAACTGTAAACATTTTTAGAAAGAAGGGTTTCTTGCTGGCAGTCAAACAAAATTAGCCAATAAAGTGAAAGTGGGTGTGGTCTTAGCAAATTTGGGATTGGTTGTAGGTGAGGGCGACCTGGGTAATTTTGACAAGCAATGTATGGCTCTATCCACACCACATTCCCCAAAAATGATCTATCATTAACCAACCCAAAAGATTGAGCCACATATTTAAAATATTAATACTAATACATCATCAGAACGACAATTATTTTAAAAAGTCAATGAACCTAAATGACATGAAAGTATAAAATACTATATTTTTTTCTAGTTTGATGTCGATATTTCTTTATATTCTGAAAAAACAACAACAAAAAGTTTAGTTGCCCTGAATTATAAATAAAATATAATAATAAAAGTAATCCTAAAAAGGTTTTGAAAAGGTGAAAAAGTTTGCAAAATAAAAATAACTGAATTGAATTACATTCTAATTAAGAAATTGCAATTGTATTAAAATGAACAACATTCTGCGGTAACTAAATTAAATTAAACGATATTTAATCAATATATATTTATAATAATAATAATCAAATTTGTACTATTAATCCTAAAAAAAAGAAACATTAAAAAAGTTTTTAAATAAAATTCAATATTAAAATGAATGAAATGTAATTAAATTCTAATAATATAATATTTTATTAAAATGAACATTAATAACAACAATAACAATATTATAATTATAATAATGATCATTAATCCTGAAAAATTAAACATTAAAAGTTGATATTAATATTAAAATAATTACATTAACAAAAATTAAATGTAATTATAATTACCATAATTCTAAAAAAAGCTTTTATTAAAATGATTGAAATCCTATAATAACCGTCTAGAATTATTTAAATTCTGTAATAACTGTTAATTTATAATAAGAAATGTTATACGATTACAATTATTAAAATGTTTAAATATTACTACAATTCATATCCAGTTTTTGATGTTTTGTCAAGTCCAATGCAATGGATTATTGCTGCACATTATATTGAACAGTCTGAAGAAATGCATGTAACAGATGCATTTTTTCTTTTTAAAGAAACATGTTTCATGCTGAATCCTTCTGAATAGGTCTTTAAATGGTGACCCTTGAAAACAGCCTGTAACGTGTGTTATGATTGGTCACTCACCGAGACGGCTGCCGTTTCGAGGCATGGCCATGAAGGACCCCAGACTGCCCCCGATGACACTGTGCGGTCGGCGCAGGGGAGGCTTCTTAAAGGAGCCCGTGTACTGGTGCAAAAACGAGTGCATGCTGTGGGAGGAGGGCGGCCGGCCATTCCTCACGATGGGCTCTGAAATAACAACGAGACCTCCATCAATACACATAAAACATCTGTGTAATTGCATGAATAGACGTATATCCTCACAGGTGCGAATCAGTGACGTCACGTGCAAACAACCTATACTCAAGTTTTAATCAAAAGGCGAGTTAATCATTAAATAGCTGTTGATATGACAACATATGAACCAATAGAACCATTGTTGACACACATGTGCCATCAGATAAAATATAAACTGCAAATATTAACTTTAATCAACGACTGTAGAGGTTATATGACCAGCTCACTGCTTGTGTGTGTTCATGTCCCTCCCACCTGTTCCTGCTCACACTAGGGGTTGAACGACTTCTGATTTTTTTTAAAGTCGACTTTTATGCGATGAAGTCGACTAGTCGCTGATGACGTCATTAATGAACAAATAGGAGCTGGAGCTGTGATAAACACCTTGTGCACAGCTATGGCATATGACACAGCGCTGCTCACATGGCTATTGCTCCTATTACTAGGGATGTAACGATTAACCGCGAGCCGGTAGAAAATCGATTTAAATATGTGACGATTCAAATCGGTTGAGAGGCTAAACAAATCACGATTCAATTAGGGGTAGGAGTTTATATGCATGTATGTCTGAGGGAAACTTACTGTCTTTAGAAAAGTTTAGATGGTATTTTTTATTTTCCTCTTGCCTCTATATAATGCATATTAAAGTTCATATGTGCAGTGCTGCTTTGTTTACAGCGGAAACCAAGAAAACGCTTTAATTAATTCTTAATCATGATTAAAATGCAGTGGTTGCCTGCCTCTAATTTTAAATGGAAAGAGCACAGACAAAGCCTTATTTTGTTTATATGAAGAGATTTATTTTATTTGCATTATTTGATTTGGGGCTTGTTTAAACATTTAAATTTTGTTTTGTTATTTACATTATATTTAAATTTTGTCATTTAGCAGACACTTTTATCCAAAGCGACTTACAAATGAGGACAATAGAAGCAATCAAAACCAACAAAAGAGCAATAATATGCAAGTGCTATATTAGTATATTATTTGGGCATATATTATTATACAATAAGTGACATGGGATTCTATTTTAGGAACGGCTCACACTAGGGGTTGAACGACTTCTGATTTTTTTTAAAGTCGACTTTTATGCGATGAAGTCGACTAGTCGCTGATGACGTCATTAATGAACAAATAGGAGCTGGAGCTGTGATAAACACCTTGTGCACAGCTATGGCATATGACACAGCGCTGCTCACATGGCTATTGCTCCTATTACTAGGGATGTAACGATTAACCGCGAGCCGGTAGAAAATCGATTTAAATATGTGACGATTCAAATCGGTTGAGAGGCTAAACAAATCACGATTCAATTAGGGGTAGGAGTTTATATGCATGTATGTCTGAGGGAAACTTACTGTCTTTAGAAAAGTTTAGATGGTATTTTTTATTTTCCTCTTGCCTCTATATAATGCATATTAAAGTTCATATGTGCAGTGCTGCTTTGTTTACAGCGGAAACCAAGAAAACGCTTTAATTAATTCTTAATCATGATTAAAATGCAGTGGTTGCCTGCCTCTAATTTTAAATGGAAAGAGCACAGACAAAGCCTTATTTTGTTTATATGAAGAGATTTATTTTATTTGCATTATTTGATTTGGGGCTTGTTTAAACATTTAAATTTTGTTTTGTTATTTACATTATATTTAAATTTTGTCATTTAGCAGACACTTTTATCCAAAGCGACTTACAAATGAGGACAATAGAAGCAATCAAAACCAACAAAAGAGCAATAATATGCAAGTGCTATATTAGTATATTATTTGGGCATATATTATTATACAATAAGTGACATGGGATTCTATTTTAGGAACGGTTTTTATTTTCTGCGACGTCTCGGCAGGAACAACATACAAAATATGACAGTGATAATCTCAGGTAATGATTATGTGCTTTATTCAATGTTAAAAGTCAAAATCAAAACAAAATCAAGACTTTGGAAAAGAGCATAATAGGACCCCTTTAAGTTTCTGTTTATTTCAGTCACTTTTTATAACATTGAACTCAAAAATTGAGAAAAGTATATAGGTATAAGGGCTAAATCTAAGATATATAACCATTTTGGGTCAAATTTGATTAAAAGATTTACAAACAATTTAAAATTGCGTCACAACGACCAAAGAGAAAAATAATATTTTTTGCGATTTTATGAGAAAAACTCCCCTGAACATTTGCTTAAACTGGACTGGTTTAAATATTGACAATGTCAAAATTTTGTTTGGTGTATTTTATACTGAAAACAAAGATAAAAGAAAGGGCAAAGTCAAAAACGCAACTGCGGTCTAAAACAATTTAACTTCTAAAATGACTGAAACAAAACAATAACAATAACAAAACACCAAAACAAAAACAAGCTAAACAAAAAACAAACAAACAAAAAAAAAAAACAGGTAGGCTTGATTTTATGCTTTGGGGTTTAGAATAAAGGGGTAAAGTCAAAATGCAGTTGTTCACACAAACCATTTTACTTCTAACATAATTGAAACAAAAGCAAAAGCAAAACCAAACCAAACCTAACCAAAAAACTAAGTACAAAACAAAAAACAAAACAGGCTTGATTTTATTCTTTGGGGTTTGACTGCAATGTAAAAACTGGTCTCTTTATAAAGTTTGGAGGGGGATAGGAGGGTGTCAGCAAAAATGGAAAGCCATTTCATAGGCAGAGCGAGTTATTATGCTGTGATGAAAGATTACGAAGGCAATCAGTGTTGTTTGCAGACTCTGTTCTGATGCCTGAGCATGAAATGCTGATGGTGTTGTATCTTCATGTATTCAGAGAGCGTTCTCTTTTTCGCTGTGGTCGCTCTCTCTCTCATATCTTCCCACACCACAGCTGTGTCTCTCATTACAACAGGTCTTTCAACCTGCTTACTAAGGACAATCCAACAAAACACCAGCCTTTCACGCGCGCAGGGCTCAGTGTGGCGCAGGTCTGATCCATCCGAGCCCATGTGGTAAAGTTCCACTCACGGCCAGCTGCGCACAGGGACTTTATTTCCATACAAGCATCATGGAAACTCCGGAATGTTCCACGGCCGACGCCATGGTAACGCTCAACCGGTCTGGCCGTGACGATATGTCATACTGTCAGATGCAGGAGCGTCCCGCCGACAGCATCGGTGGGTGTGCGGTTACGACAAAATAGTGGAATTTGGACAGACATGAGCTATTTTTCACACTACTGAGAAAATATCATGATCATTTTTTCAGTGCGCAAGTATATAAAATGTAAACTCTATGCCTATCCTGTCTTGTTGCTAAGCAACAGTGCTCCTGAGGAAAATATTTCATGTCAGCAGAAGCTCTTGGGCCCAAAGCTAGGTTGGGTCTATGGTTGGCGTGCCGACAGTCTCCAGTGACAGGCTCTTAGGGGTCTTTGTGCAGCACCCTGACAGCTATTCCTGGTACCAAAATGAACACAGGCAGACATAAATTCACTCTCTTTCTTCCTTATTGAGATGGAGCATGTCTTCAGAGTGTGTTCGAAATGTGAAGCACAAATAAACACAAAACCACACTCATGACTAAAGAATAAGTTTAGAAAGGCAGATGGTGCACACGACTGTTCTGTCCTGTTCTGGCAGCACCAGACTACAAACATAAAAAACAAAACAAACACTGGCTGAAATTTAAGGAAGCAGTACAGAAAAACAACCAGTCCATGTATCCTCCTTTTTCATATAGTATCCATGTCTTTGTGATATTTAGTGAAGACATTTTGATAAAAATTTAGTATGATTAATAATAAACAGCAAACAAATTAAAGCATTTATTTACAATAAGAATAATAACATATTATATATTCATTTTCATATATAAAAATATATTCATTCATATATAGAATTTATATATGTAAGTGATGATGTATATCCAGCCGGTTATCTCATCTCAGAATAAACCCCGACAGGGAGATCAGGACCCCGATGCGAAGCGGAGGCTGAGATAACAACCGGCTGAGATATCCAGTACATTATCCCGCTTATTACACGGCTACTTGTCTCAAGTAAATTAGACACGAAATATTGACTTGAGTTGAAATATTTTATTAGCTCTTACGCAAAGCTTCCGCGAGGAAAAACAGTTCCTAACAAACTGCTTTGAGCCTTTTGAAGTCAGACAATATGAACATTTAAGGCATAATGTGCAGTCGTATCACTAATTACAATAAACAGTTGTTCTTACCGTATATGCTGAAATTAATGCTGAAGCCCTCCATTGTAACACACGGTGGTTAAGTGTTTTCAGTCACAAGATGGTGCCAGACATTCAATGATAGCGGAGTGACTCGTTAAGCATATAAGTAGTACCGGTCAAGATAACTCGTAGTACCCGGATGAGCGTGCGTTATTCAATTTGGCGGTTGTTATCTGGGAGTAACATACCGCTGGATGGCGCGATTGACCAATCAGAATCAAATATTCCACAGAGCCGTGTAATAAATATATATCAGGGGTTGCACCGACCAATCGACTAGTCGACTTCAATGCTCTCCCATGATGCTTTAAGCTTGACGTCGACTAGTTGCTGGTCCTATAGAGGGCGCAACAGGATAAGAAATCTTGGAAGGACTTCCACATTTACGCTCCGTTTCCAAACAGTTAAAATAACAAATAAATGCATACTCTGAAAGCGCTCCACAAGACATGTGATTATATTACTGGATGCTTGAAATTGAACGGGAGAATGCACGTTCTAATTTAATGCGCTGCTGGACTGTAACACACACACACACACACATTACAGACAGTAGCTCGTACATCACGTGCAGATCGTGCGCACAGAATCATTCAGATGGCGCCAGAGAGGATTTTCTTTATATCTCATATATAAAAATACAAGTTATTAAAAATGTTACTATGTAAATACTAATTTACAAAATGCATAAAATAAACATTTTTAAAAATCCCAGCTACCACACGTTACCTATTATTATTATATATTTATTTATATGGGGACAATAAAGAAATTTGATTTCACAGATTTGGCCATTTTTTAAATGAAACCCCAAAATGTTTGTGTGTGCTATTTTGCACACATGCACATATTAAAAGAAAAAAAACAATTTAGAGAATCCAGATTCGGTTTCTTCCATGTTAAGCTGTGCCTCCTGCATTTGGCATGTTGCTGACTGCATATATGGCTGCACATTAAAAAATTAGATCCTAAAAATTTCATCTGAAACCTAAAAGCAGTGTGTAATTTTCTTCCGAACAGTCTTCAACATTAATGAGACAGAAACGTCTATTTGTCTGCTCTCGTTTCCATATTACATGCACATCTTTCCTGAGGGTAAAGTGAGACTATAAATCAAATTGCTCATTTAATGTATAATTAAAACAGAACTTTTCAATCTTTAAATTAAATAATGATTCTTTCAGGTGTCCCAAAAGACCTATGAAAAATAAATCTCAAACATAGGTTTATTTATTTTAAAATAAAGATGATTTATTTATTTGTAATAATGATTAATAAAAAAAAAAAAAAGACATCAGCTGAAATCTAACAGCCATCGCAGTGCAAAATATTCCTCTGAATGCTATTCCAGATGAGTTGCAGCAACTGAGGATTCACCTTGACCAGGATGAAGCCGGCTGAAATTAGAAACTCTTGCTAATGTGCGGATTAAAGGAAAGAGAAGAGAGCGGCATAAGATCCTTAGGTAATGGCAGAGTCTTCATAAAACATTCATTAGTCTGCCTAAAAAAAACCCGGCTGGATCAACACCACTGCCATTCCCCACATTCAACACACAGACCTAAAAACAACCACACTGTCAATGTGTGTATGCATAGCTGAGTGGGCATGTTTAGACCGCTGTGCACATATCAGTGTAAATGTACTGGTGAAAGAGTGCAACATTCATGTAAAAAAAAAATGCATTCTCTGAATGCTAGTGTTGACCTGAGGACTGTGTTGTGATGGTTTTAGGGCATGAGTTAGTGAGGATGTTTTTACTGCTGTCAGACCAATGAGGACACAGTAATAAATGATACCGGCCGCAATGCATCAGGACATGCCGATTAAGGCCAGGTTCATCCAGATATAAAGATAAGCACATGCACATAGGTTCTGTGCCAATCCTAATAAGCTGTCTCACAGTCTACATAGACAGCTACCTTCTAAGGCAAGAATTTAGTAACTTAAATGAAATGTCAACACATGCTATTGTGCCTAAATAGGGCCCCTCAAATGAAAGACACAGAAAAAACAGCTAATATTCAGAGTTGATTTTGATAATGGTCGACTGATATATATAATGTGAATATTTGCCATTTTTTAATAAAAAAAAATCAAATCCTTGTTTATTTTATAGATTTATTTAAAATGGTAAGTTCAAATGGTATTTTTGTATTTAATTTCAGCTATTTTTATGCATGTATTTAAATTAAATAGTGTGATAACATGTAAATCGGCCTGCTTTTTAAGATACTGGCGTCAGCCAGCAAAAAAAAATAAAATCAATATTGGCTGACCACTAATTTAATCTATGCTAAATACGCTACAATACTATATAAAACAAAACAAAGAGCACGGACAAATATTGGGTAATTTTTAATTAGATCATTTTCAGTACTAAAAGTTTACACAATCCACCATCTTTGAAGGAAAAATGAATTTATTCCAATGCATTTTGAGACTTGAGAAGAATGTGTGCAATTCCACCTATATTTTGGTCAAAATTAGATGTGATCATTTGAATAATATGCGATAATTTTGATGCTTGCGGTTGTAAATTAATGCACCAATTATGTCAAAAAAATGCATTTTACGTTTTAGCGTATTGGTGGCAAATTTGCATGAATTCGTACAATCTCAGTCACTTGCTGCTTATGTCCCACTGATGGTTAGATTTAGGGGAAAATATTCATTCTTTTTTTTCTTTTTCTAAAAACTGTATGTTTTGTGCAATCAAATTGTACAAATTCATACAAAATCACCACCTAGTAAAATCATTATGTTTTCTCATGAGATCGGGTGGCGTTTGCATAAAGTTCATGCTCAGATAAAAACTGCAAGCTCACCCTAAGCTGAAAACCTATTTCAAGGGTGATTATGCTCAATTCAGCATTAAGTTTGATGCATAAGGGTTAAAAAGTTATGTCTGAACCCAGCTACCCTGCATTCAAGAACCACTATGGCTGCACGATAAATCGCATGCGATATTTAACGCGCATCTTGTCAGTAAAGCCAGTTTTTTAATCAGCGGTAAATCTCCATCTGTGTAGTTAATGCTGCTCTATGTGAAAGCCCGCACGTGTATTTACCACTTTTACCATTTGCATTAAAACCCTCCCTCATAGGCGCTCCGATAAGGATGTGGAACATGACCATCCAGTCTGGGCCAAAAAGGCCATGGTAGCTGAATTTGTGCTTTCAATAAGTGTGGTTACTGTTTTACCTCAGTCGAAGGCGCGATACACCCGGCGCGATTCCACACTGGTTTACATAGTGTCTCATTGTACAGTCTGAACCAGTCTGTTTGATTCCAGTCCATCCGTCAGGTTGGCCCGAAGGCAACGGAGCTAATTTAGCCCATCTCTCACAAGCTGTCACATGCTCCCGTCCTCTCATTCTCCTCACAGGGGTGTCATTGCCGTTACGTAATTACTAGCTAGCTGAACATACAAGAGCGAGGAGAAGAAAAAGCACTTTGGACAGGGAGTGTTTTGCTTAGTTTCTTTTCAACTGAAATTGCATTGCTTTAGGCATTCGGGCTGACTGGAAGCATGACAGCAGACTCTTTCACATCAGTCCTGGCTCAGCACTGTGTATGGTCACAAAAATGGCACAGGCTTCAGTTATGACAGATCAGAATGACAGGTTTTCAACGCAGCTTTAAATGGTTGTGTCAAGGTGACTAACGCGAGCAAAGGTGGTCAATACAGGTAACCCACAGAAAATAAAATACTCTGGGTGTAAATACTGTGAGCAAAGAGAGAGGCAAGGATTATTTCGGGGTCAAACTCAAGTTAAGCTCAGCATTTGTGGCATGATGTTACTAAAATGTTGCTCGTTTTCTTTAAATAAAACAAAACTCTGGGTTACAGTAAGACACTTACAATGGAATAGTACCAGTGTTACATTAGTATCATTGAGATGCTATTTTAATTTTTGTTAATATTTAGAATTAGATTTTTTTTTCAGTTTTCATGCTAATTTTAGTTAAATCTTATGTATTTTGTATTTTTATTTTAAGTTTTTGCTGTTTTTAACAATTTTTTTATTCCAGTTTTAGTTTGTCATTTTAGTACATCAAGTTAAACTAAATAAAAATGAGAAATGTTTCCTTGGAAACTAGCTGAAATATAAAAAAAATTTGACAAGAAAATCAATGTATTAACAATTAAAAATTTCAAACAACTTCACTGCCATGACAACATAATGTTCAAAACCCTAAAATGACCGTAAAAAGAGTGTAAACATTGATTTTAACAGCTTTACAGAACAAATAAATAGTTATCCTCCACAAATGGTCCTAATTCACTTCCATTGTCAAATGTCTTCCCCAAAATTATTGTGTGTTGATAATCATTGTGCAATCAGCAATCCATTGATTGAGCTTAACTTGTATTACTTTAACATAAAAAATATGTGTGTGTATATATATATA